AATTCATATCCAAACCCATCATTATATAATTTTTTGTATAACCAAATTCAAATAAAAATAAATACAATTAAATTATTTTAATATAATTTAATATATTTATTATCTATCTTAATATAATTTTAATATAAAATTCAAAAATAAAATATATATTATTTCAATTAATTTATTATATTTATTTTTTTTAATTTATTTATATATTTAAAAAATATATTATTATAAATTATATATATATATTACAATTATAATATTCAAAGCCATTAAAAAATATATTATTATTATTTATATATATAATATAATATAATTAAATAAAATAATTTATATTATATAAAATTATAAAAATCAAATTATAAAATATAATAATTAAAGGAATATTCGATCATTATTATTTATATTTATCAAATCCGATCTTAAATTTATGAAATAGGAGGTGCCAGGGAATGGATCGATTATTTATAATTCCAAGGACCAATTAATGTGAAGCCAAATAAGAAATTTGGGAGTCGAGAGCCAAAATGTCTGTGGGAAAAGGAATGCTTTTTATATATTTGGTTCAAATCGTGCCTATTTCATCCTATTTTTACCACGTACCCAAGCAAGACGTAGTTACAAGTAAAGCAATGTAAATATATTCTCTGTATGTGATTTATTAAGCAATTTAATTTGGTGAATGAAATTGGATATTTTCTTATATATCGTATTATACATGTACATATCAAATTTAATGCGTCAAATAAGCAAAATATCATCAGTGGAATTGGACAAATTTGCAAAATTCACATGAATTGCCAGCACCTCGTTTCAAGAATGTGCAAATGAGATTGGTGGCTTCTAAAAGCATCACGCAGCAATCATCACTGTCAATGTCTCCTGGGAAGCCAGGCTCCAGTTGACGGCACCTCGTGCGACGATCAGTTGAGGGGAGGAATTTCCATTCTGGACCTCAAATGATTTTCCTATGCCAGTTAGATCATACATAGGAAAAGATGCACTTCCCACACAAAGAATGGAACTCGGCCTTTTTGAAGACCTGAATTGACGTCACTTTGAAGTGTCCAAACTCAGTTTGGCGGTCGCAGCAGCACCTTCCCTTCAATGATGGTCCCATTGATGTCGACCACCTTGGAGGATTCCAACCGTGATATGCTGCAGCGAGGTTGCTGGTGTTTAGGAAAATACGATGATTGCGATGACATTTGTTTTTTTAATGGGGAATCCCCAAACACCATGGGTTTCAATACTAAGATGGTCTTAGATGATTTGGGGCTACCCCCATTTGAAACCTCCATGCCAACACCCTGAAATCTGACCATCGTCAAACAGATCTGGATGCAAAGATCCCGCTGCCGTCCTTCGGAAATAGAAACTGTCCCTTTGGGACGATTCCCCTTACTTCCCCTAACCATCAACAGTCAACCGCACAACTTGAGACCGCACCACAAAGCCGTCCTCACTAAAGCAGGAACCATCCCATCCTTGGCGATCCCCCGGGTGGCGGGACTTGCTCTGTATCGAAAAACAGGATGTTGTGGATCTTGTCCAATCTTGTCATCTTGCATCTTCAAATGTAGACAGAGTATCCACAGTATTTCAATCTATAGGATCTATAGTTTAAGCGTGTTTAAGCCGTCAAACTTCCCACTTTTGCTTGCTTGTAAAATCCCAACGTCGGTTTCTCTCAAAATACAGTACCCCAAAATCCCATGGCACCTTCCCCTTTGCAACGGCCATGTCATGGGTGCATCCCCCATTTTTGGAGACCCAAAACTTGCCCCAAAACCGCTGTCGTAACCTGGGCTGCCCTTGCGGTCTGGCACCGGGTGGGAGGCCACTGCCAAGTTGCAGTACTTGCCTTCGACCAGCGACGTGGCTGGTTTGGGTTGGGGGGAACTAACCTTGGCTTTGTTTAATTGGCATACCCTAATGGATGGTGGATGGTTTTAATGGTAAAATGATGTTCTCAGCCATGAGATTTTGGGGTTCTCTATTTTCGAAGACACCCCCATTCTCAGGAAGCATCGTTTTTGCCATGAAAAATAGGAGTCCGCTGAGTTTCTGCTTCGTCCGATTCTTGGATGGTTGGCATGAAGGCATTAGCTGGGATGACCCCTCACTGAAGTGAAGGCACATAGTTAGAACTGAAAATTGAATTGTCATGAAAAACATATCTAGCCCAATTACATCCAGATAATGGTAAGCTTCATCCGTGCAAAAAAACGACCATCCGACCATTCGGCAATGTCTTTCCAGAGCTAGGCAAAGCAAATCTATCTCTGACCTCTGGAAGCAGTTTGTCGCTCGCCCAAGCCATAGATATGATCAAATATGACATGATATAATGTATATATATAATATACTAAAATAAAATATAATAAATTATAATAATAAAATAATATATAATATAATATAAAAATATGATATGATATAATATAATATAATATAATATGATATGAAATGATATAATATAATATAATATAATAAAATATAATAAAATTTAATATAATATAATATTAATATAATATAATATTAATATATATATAATATAATATAATATAATATAATATAACATAACATAACATAATATAATATAATTTAATATAATATAATATATAATATAATGTAATTTAATATAATATAATATAATATATGTATTAATATATATATATAATATAATATAATATAATACAATATAATACAATATAATATAATATAATATAATATGATATGTAGATGATATGATATGATATAATATAGTATAATATAGATATATAATTGTATATATATATATGTGTATACAGTATATATATACACAGTTATAGGATTTTATATTTATAGGAACCGGAGAATATGAGATTTTGTGCAATTTTTTCCATGTCCCATCACAAGTCTTCCACAACTTTCAGCCAGGTCGGAGCCTTGGGGCAGATAGGAGTCCAGCCCAACCAGAGACCACGACTTGTTGGACCCTTGTTGCGTCTCCCTTAGGTGCCCACCAGGGAAGCAGCTTCAATGCTGCCTTTGGTAGAGCTGATAGAGCTAAGATTGAAACCAATTGAAGCCGTGGTTCAAAGCTACAAACGCGACTTTGTCCCAGCCTTGGTTGGAAATGTTGTAACTTTGCTGCCTGTACACGGAGAAAATTGGCAGTGATGTGGATGCAATGAAGCAAAACCCAAGATTTCCCTTTGCCGTGATTTTTCATTGAGATGATTTCTGCGGGAAAATTTGTCGGAAGCATGCTTTTCCCAGTGAATTATGGGGAGGTTCCTCTAAATGTTCCCAAAAACCTATCCCATCTGCTGCCGCCAAGGGGCCAAAGGCCACATGTCCCAACCGGTCAGACCAAGTGTGCCACCGCGTCACCTCGGAAATCGCAGGTGAGAGTTTCAGAAACCCACAAAGCAAAAATTCAGGGAAAAACTGTTTTGCTTCCAAATGTAAATGTTTCCTGCAGATTTTCCCTTCAACCAATTCGCGGAAGCAAAAAGCAAGGGGATGTGGGTTGATCTGAAAGTTAACTCTGCCTAAATCTAGTGGTTAATTATAATTTTCCCGCGTTTTATATATTAAGATATATATATATATGTTTTTTTGCCAGTTTGGTGGTATACTCTATTTTCAGACACCTTAAATCTGGATATGGGTCCAAATCACTTGAAATTGTGACATTTTCATCGACGGTAGCTGCTTTTATTCGAGATCCAAAAGATTCAAAAGTGCTGCCGTGGGAATTTACTCACCTGAAAGAGGCATTTTTCAATATCCTGTTGCGGGGCCAGATCATTCACCGCAAAGGGCAGAACTATCTGCCTTGGCAGTGTCACTTCGGGTTTTCAATGGCGAAATCCATATATACAGTGACTGTGCGACCGTGGTCAAAGGCTTTAACATTTTGAAATCTTCAGGTTTCTTTCTGTTTAGACCTTCTCGACAAGTGGGATAATTAATTATGACCAATGGTCTGAAATTTGCCAATCTCTTCTTGTCAGAAATGGGCCTGTCTTGGTTTTTAAAGTTGCTGCCCATGGTCGTGATGCTAGCCAGAGTCAATATTTGACGGGTGGCAATGCCAAAGCAGATAGAGCTGCTAAGACTCTAGCGGCAGAACATTTTGGCAATAACTTTTGTGATCTGACCCCATCCCTGCGGTGGGTATTCGACCTGCAAGTCCACATAGTGCAAATCTTCGTAGCACGTTCAAATGACGCAGTGTTGCGTGATCTCGGGTTTGTGGATGTTTCCCAAGTTGGTGGCCAAAATGTCAACACACCTATTGATACCAAATTACTTTGCACATGTGTTCCCCAAAGGCGGTTTGCCAAGAAAACTCAGGTCGTTTGTTTGGGAAAGTGTCCCGCCGCACTGCAGACGTGCAGATTGGAAAGGGCTTTCCTACATCTTCTTTCCCAGCGATTGCATGACCCAGTCAATATCTGGAAAGGGCTTGAAGCCCGATATCCCACATTTCACGCATGGCTTGAATCATGTGGAACATTGTGTGCCCCGTCCAATATGGATAAAGATCTCTGATGTGGCTAGATCTTACATTTTATATAGCATCAACCAATCCTATTGGACGGACACGGAAGATTGGACCCCATGGGCTTTCTTCATGATAGACACTATTTCTAGCCAGGGGTTTCTCGATGGTGTCCTTTCTTCTGAACAGAGCTTTGGCCTTCTCATTACAAGATTTCGTTCTGTTTGGATCCATTTTCTGTTACATGCTTTCCCTCAAATCACCGAAAACAAAGCTGCAAAACATGGTTCTGCATTCGGCCTCATCAAACTAAGTGCCTTTCATTTACATCTTAGACCCCGTAACAAAGTTGCTTTATGGTCGGTGCTTATCCAAGCTTCTCTGGATTGTAATTTTGAGTCCACTCAAAAACGTAGATCGAGATCACATTGGAAGCCGAACTGGCAACTCGTTTGAAAGGAAATTCTTGCTGCTTATGCATGTAGATGCCTGCAAGGCACAAGAGATGGTGGAAAAAAAAGGATATGGGTCGAAATCCGGGTACCCTTCTGTTCACCCGGCAATTGCGCAAGTGCTCTCTGGAAGTTGATCCCCACATGTAACGCAATAGGTCTTGATCCATTTCCCATATGTGCAAAGTGCTAAACCCAACAATAAGATACAATAACCCTCGATTGGATATGGTTAACAGTAGCTCTAATTACATAGACTCCAACTGGTCAAAGTGTGGTTCATTTCTATCATTGGGTTCAGCACAACCCACGGGCCCGGAGAGAAAAAATAACAAACAGGTATACGCGATCCAGGAGCGATCTAGTGGAAAAAACGGGGGCCCATCCCAGATGAAGTCCTTTGTGCCCGAAAAAAACATGTGTCTGGCCAAATCCCCAATATTGCAGCAGCCCTCTCCAACCGAAAAAGGGATATGGGCCAAACCCTAGGGTGCCATGGGGGAAGTGAACATTCAAGCATCTATCAGCTTCGCTCTTCACCTCGTTGGGAAGTTCCATGTTGTAAAGAAGCAAACGACCTATATATCAATGGATACCCTGCAGTCAAACCTGGCAATTGAACATCCAGAAATTCAGCTTTCAATGGAACAATGATCTATACATGGAGGATTGTCCATTGCCATCATTGATTACCAGAGGGTATGAACCATTTGGGAGTCATCAAAAAGAGATATACCTCCTAGTAGACCGTTGTTAGGGATGGTTATTTGTTGGCTTTACCACATGATCTTCCCAAGAAGTGTTGGCTACTTGGAGGATCATCCGACTTGGTCAGTGGTTCATAATCCTACTTGGTAAGCGCCCGTTTCGTGGGGGGTTCCCATTGATTCAATAGTAGGGGGATGGGATTAAGCCATGGTTTCCTCCAGATTTTCCGACCATAAATGGCTTAGAACTATGGGTTAGGTACCCCTAAATCATCCATATTTTCAGTGCATTGTCCATGAATGGGCTACCCCCATGGACTTAGGAAACCCTCAGTTTTTTCAGCACCGAGGCACTTCGCCAGGCGTTGCATGTCCCATGATGCGCCGGAAACGCACCATGCCCGCGACACCCTGGACGAGGTCGAGACGAGGTCGATGGGTTGGAAGATCTGCAAGAAACCATATTGGACCATGGCTTAATCCCATCCTCCCGTCCTATATACTAGTATGCATGGGATATAACATGAGATAACCATGAAAAATGGTGAGTTAATGATTTACCAGTGGTTTTACCCATCCAAAAATGGGGAGATTATGGTTTAATAGTGGGATGTAAGTATGCAAAATTGTGATTGAATGGGATATGAATGGGTGTATATATATAATGTATGTAAGTGTGTATATATATAATTATGTGTGTGTATGATATATATATATATATAGCTATACAGTCCCCCATTCATATTATATAAACACCCCCCAGAAACTATGGCTTTGTAGCGGATGAAATCACTTTTTGTCGGACCAGAGAATGGGCTGTTCAAGATTAGGGGCGCCTATCAAGCCATGGTCAAAAATATCAAACAATAGGCAAAACATGTAAAAACCATGCTGTGGGATTGAGATTGTCCCACCAATTCTGGGATAACGGGGCTGCCATTTACTTCATGGGCTGATGACGGTGAGCCGGATCGTTGCCTGCCAACGATGTTCGCAGACCTCATCCAAGATGCACCCCCTGCCTTTGGTAAATCCATTGTTTCTGGGGTACCCCAATGTGAGAAACACCACATGAAATGTGTCAAAAGGACATTTTGGAAACGAATCTGACATGCCAGTTCTGCCGATAGCTACTTAGAAAAAACTAGACGACGGATGGTCCGAGATCGTAGAGGAGCAGGGTCTTCTGTTGTTAGTATTGAGACACTATATTACAAGACAATATATTAAAGATCTATAATAGGCAGACGAGAAGAGTAGTATCAAGACAATATTTTACAAGTACAATGTACAAGACAATAGTTTGCATCGTATCCTTCGTGAAGTTTTTCACACACAGAACCTTTTACACACAAACGCTTTTGCACACAGAAGCTTTTACACAGAAGCTCTTACACACAGACGCTTTTACACGCAAAAACTTTTACACACAGAAGTTTTTACACACAGAAGCCTTTACACACAGAAGCTTTTACACACAGACCCTTTTACACACATAGACGTTTTTACGCACAAAAGCTTTTACACACAGCGACTTTTACACACAGACGCTTTTGCACACAGACACTTTTACACACAGATACTTGTACACACAGACGCTTTTACACACAGACCCTTCTACACAGAGACGCTTTTACACACAGAAACTTTTACACACAGAAGCTTTTACACACAGACACTTTTACACACAGACGCTTTTACACACAGAGACTTTTACACACAGACGCTTTTACACAGACACTTTTACACACAGACGCTTTTACACAAAGAAGCTTTTACACACAGACTCTTTTACACACATACGCTTTTACACACAGACGCTTTTACAACACAGACACTTTTACACACAGATACTTGTACACACAGACGCTTTTACACACAGACCCTTCTACACAGAGACGCTTTTACACATAGACACTTTTACACACAGACGCTTTTACACACAAACCCTTTCACACACAGAGACTTTTACACACAGAAGCTTTTACACACAGAAGCTTTTACACACAGAGGCTTTTACACACAGAAGCTTTTACACACAGAACCTTTTACACACAGACGCTTTTACACACAGAGGCTTTTACACACAGAAGCTTTTACACACAGACGCTTTTACACACAGACGCTTTTGCACACAGACGCTTTTCCACACAGAGACTTTTACTCAGAGACACTTTTACACACACACACGCTTTTACACACAGACGCTTTTACACACAAACACTTTCACAAACCGATACTTTTCCACACAGAAGCTTTTACACACAGACGCTTTTACTCAGAGACACTTTTACGTAGACACTTTTACACGCAAACACTTTCACACACAGAGGCTTTTACACACAGAAGCTTTTACACACAGACGCTTTTACACACAAAAGCTTTTGCACACAGACGCTTTTACACACAGAAACTTTTACACACAGAAGCTTTTACACACAGACACTTTTACACACAGACACTTTTACACACAGATACTTGTACACACAGACGCTTTTACACACAGACGCTTTTACACAGAGACACTTTTACACATAGACACTTTTACACGCAAACACTTTCACACACAGAGGCTTTTACACACAGAAGCTTTCACACGCAGAGGCTTTTACACACAGACGCTTTTACACACAGACGCTTTTACACACAGAAGCTTTTACACACAGACGCTTTTACACACAGAACCTTTTACACACAGACGCTTTTACACACAGAGGCTTTTACACACAGAAGCTTTTACACACAGACGCTTTTACACACAGAGGCTTTTACACACAGAAGCTTTTACACACAGACGCTTTTACACACAGACGCTTTTGCACACAGACGCTTTTCCACACAGAGACTTTTACTCAGAGACACTTTTACACACACACACGCTTTTACACACAGACGCTTTTACACACAGAAGCTTTTACACACAGACGCTTTTACAGACAGAAACGTTTACACACAGAAGCGTTCACACACAGACACGCTTACACACAGAAACTTTTACACACAAACACTCTTACACAGGGTTATCGCGCAGGTTGTAAATTCCCAATTTTACCTTAGTTTTTGGCGATCGAACCTCATTTCGTGCGAAAGAGTTGTCACAGCACACTCAAAATGGCAATTTTACCTCAGTTTTTGGCGATCGAACCTCGTTTCGTGCGAAAGGGTTGCGTTTCGTGCCGTCTCGTTGGCACTGTCCCACGCCTTCAAGAGAGAAATAGAAAAGAAGGAGAGAGCAAGAGGGCAAGAGGGCAAGAGGGCAAGAGAGAATGTAAAGATGTGAAGATGAGAAGATGAGAAGATGAGAAGATGAGAAGATGAGCAGATGTGAAGATAGGATGAGAGGATGAGCAGATGTGAAGATGAGAAGATGTGAAAATGTGAGGATGTGAAGATGTGAGGATGTGAAGATAAGAAGATGTGAAGATGAGAAGCTGAGAAGATGAGCAGATGTGAAGATGAGAAGATGTGAAGAGGGTTGAGGATGTGAGGATGTGAAGATGAGAAGATGTGAAGATGAGAAGATGTGAAGATATGAGGATGTGAAGATGTGAGGATGTGAGGATGATAAGATGTGAAGATGTGAAGATTTGAAGATGTTATGTGAAGATGTGAAGATGTGAAAGTGTTTGACAGACCCCCACTATTAGAAGAACCCTTCGCTCAGACGCTCTCGGGAATTAGAAACCCCAACGCATACACAGCGACAAATACACATACCAAGACTTGCCTGGGCCCGTACACGTCAAGTCAAGATTGCAAACACTGTTTTCTTTTACACGGTCTCATACAATTCTTGGTTGCGCTCCCCGTCTGTGTGGTTTATTCCATTGTGGATGCCTCAGAACTGAACAACCACTGCCAGGGCCTCCAATTCAAACTTTATGGCTTCAGCGCCAGTAACTATAACCATTCTCCCTCAGTGGCTCGGAGAAAAACACCGAGACCGGCACCCACGGATGATCCAGGTCCTGGGCCATTCCATGATCAAGCAGAATCCAGGAAATTGGTCACTGACTTTATAAAGAAAGCACCAGATCCCAAAATATAAAATCAGTTTGAACATATTTGAACGATCTCTGGCCCTCAGAATTTCACGTGATGTTTTCGTATTTTTTTCTGTGGATGGAGCATCCCTTTGGCCCCAGAGTCCTTGTCATACTCTTCCGTGACAGGACTGGTTGTGGGAGTTGATCGACAACGCCTAGACGCAACAGCTATCATGTAGATCATAGCAGTTGGGGTACCACCAACTAGCTCACAACCCCAACAAGCGTGGAAAAAAACGTGAGCAGAGCTGTGGTGATCTATCATATCATATCATATCTATCTTCATCCTACCAGGTCCTCCCAGAACTCCCAGTAGCTCCGAGGGGCTGTGCCGGGGACAACGGGCGATCTCGCCAGGAATCGTTTTGGACTCCCGGTGGGCCCTGGTCAAAGTACTCGAAGGCCTCAGGGACAGAACATCGGCCATGGCCAGCTGCCATGGCCAGGCGGCCAGGAACACCGAGGCCAAAACATACGACGAAAGGAGGCCTGGGTCAACGAAGGTGGAATGCCAACTGCCTCTCATAGCTATGACAGCTATCATGAATCAGATTACAGCTCAGGAATCCTTTGGGGTCTGAGATTCTGCTGGCTGGATACTGAGATACTAAGTGCACTAAGGGTCAACAGGAGGGATTTGGAAACTGCCAGGCCTGTGGAAAATCGTTTCTGAATCAGGCCATGAAGTATCTGAAAGAACGCAGCCATACAAATTAAAACTCCTCTCTGAGTGAGTCACACGTACCCTCAATATACAAATATGTGTGTATGCATGTATAAATATATATATATATACATTATATTATATATATATAAATATCTATCTAAATAATTATATATACATATTACTTAAGAAATACATCACAATACTTTTGGGCAGCTCACCCTACAGTGACGAAGCCATGATCAAAAAATCAAGATCCTGGCGCACTGCATCTCCATAAGGCCACGCCTTTTTTTTCGGAGCCAGGAATCAATGGATGTATTATGGGTGTAAAATGGGATAAAATAGGGATATAATAGGGATATAACCAACCATAAATAGTGTGATATAAGTGGACTTGATGGTATACATGACCCCTTAATGGCAATTTGACAGTTTGCCATGGTATAGATGGCCCGTGAATGTTCGATGATTGTCGGCTGCCCAGCGGACTTATCCCACTACTCACGGCTCCATACCACAAATCATGGTATGGATGCTGAAAATTGGCTATACCACCAATTTAATAATATACCTACAATTCTTTAATGGGGAAATGATGACTAAGCATCAAATTTGGGGGTGTTCCAAAAAAAAATCAGACACACCGATGTGAAATATAATATATAATGATTGCCTAAGAACTAAGGCGATTTCCGGCGAATAGACAACAGGAGCCGTGTGTTTTTTGAGGATGGCACCAGCATGAAGAGTTGGGCCAAGTTGTACGAGAGTCCTCGGAACATGGACGTCGCTTTTTGCCACTCCCCTACAAAATCCATGGGTAGGACAGGGACATAACTTTGGGACCGTCAGAACTGCTGAATTAATGGGATATGAATGGCGATACAATGGTTTATAATTTACAACTGACCAACTGCGGTTTATATAATTAGTTTATGATAACTATGAGGCAAAATTGTGGTGCCCCAAAATCCTACTGTATAACAAAATTGCCAGTTGTGGGTATACGGGTATATAACGCCCCATGTTCAAACAGGCCCATTCTAACACTATGGGGCAAGCGACCTGAAATCTCGACCATCTGAAGATGGCTGGAAACCAAAAGGATGGCATTGCCATTGTTCGTTGGCTGTTCTGGAAAACCACTGAACAATGCGGTGAATTCTTGCACTGGTACAGTCAATGGCTATAAATAGCATTGGCATCTCCTCTTCATTCCTGTCAGATGCGGACTAAGACAAGCTCCATGCTTGTAGATTGGGCGGCAATTGCCAATGTCCTGCTCCGCATGTTCTGGGAGTTGACCATTCATCTGACTTTGAATGCTCAGGCTGAAAAAAATAAAAGTCGGCGAACTAAGTCACCGGGAAACAAGAAAGGCTTGTATTGCAAAGCTGAACATCCACGAACATCACAAACCGAAGCATATTCAGAAGCCGTGAATCCCAGTCATCCCCACACGAGCATCAAGACGTCATGACACATCTCTGGAACGCTTTCGCTTAAGGGCCGAATTTCAGTTGAAGGGCACAAGGATAAAAAAAACTTGGAGAATCAAAGAATGCCTCTACATATACGATCACGTACGTATATACTGGTATATGTAAACATGCGTCAATATAATGTGTCATCAAAAACATGTTGACATACACCGAAGTGTAAATGCTAATGTTCCGGAGAAAAAATATCTGAAAAAATGACAGACAAACAAACAAACATGCTAAAAGACCTTTATTTAAAATTATTTAAGCGGTCGAAAGCTTCATCCCCGCCATCTGGACTAGACTGACTTGAATGCAATAGGTCTGCAACAAAAAAAATGCAAACAGGAACCAGCAAACACACGGACAAACAGGCAATCAGGCAGAAGGAATCAAACAATCAACCACAAAACGTACCAATACCTTACCGAAACGATCAAGAAACCACATCAAACCATATCAATCTAAATGTGACTTGCATCATGCATTGATATATTAGATTCTTAGATGTATTGGATATAACCTCAAGATTCAAAGGTGCCATGGTCAAAACATGGTGCCGGCACCTCTAAGGGGCCGTGCGTTTGTTTCGGATTCATGGTGATTTTGAAAATCACCAAAAAAATGTGATTTTCAAGGATTTCATTTGAAATCGATGCTAGAAAAACATGTAAAACCTCTGCAAGGGTTTGCTTAAGAAGTGTTTTACGACAACCCCTGCAACACTTTGCACACTCTTTTCGCGTCTTTTTGGCAGGTCAAACTTTTTTGCCATATCTGTGGCTGGCATGTTACATAATACAATAATTACATACATATACAGATACATATAATATATATATATACATATAGTAGCTTGAATGTGTATTAGAAGTACAAGATAAGTTATCATGACATAGCATCAACTCTAAGGAAGTTCTCGTGACGTAGCATCAAGAAAAGTATATGACGTAGCATGCAGAAGATATGAAAGTGCTAGAGAACTTCTTAGAACATAGCAACAAGAAAGGTATATAACATACCATGCAGAAAATGTGGAAGTGCTAGAGAAGTTCTTATGACGTAGCAAGAATAAAAGTATATGACGTAGCAGCAAATGGGTGTGCAAATGAAAGGACGTTATTGCCCCAACCCACCCCACCCAACCAACCCCACCCGAACATGAAGCAATTTGAAAAAACATAGATGGATCGAAACAAAAACAAGGCAGCGGAGCAAAAAAGTACACGAACGCACGGCCCCTTACAGGCGCCGCCACCCAAAACATGGCCTTTAATTTTCTTTTTTACGGTCATCCATCCCATAATGGGAGTCCTTACAATGTGTATCTGTATAATATGGTACCCCAAAAGCTGGATGGGTTATTTCATGGAAAATCCGACAATAAAATGCATGATGGCTGGGGGTACCCCTATTTCAGGAAACCTCCGTATAAATCCTATCAATGAATTGACGTCCAACCGCCAATATGCCTATACAATGCATCCTTTGCTCATCACTGTGACATGTCGAAGTCCGTCCTTTCCGTCCCAACCTCAGAGATTTAACCAAGGAAGACAACATGGCTCAACCATAGTGAATGTCAGCAGTTGTTATGGGTAATTATAGGTGAAAATATGGAATCTAAAACAATGTACACTGCTTGCCAATGGTTGTTATGGTATAGTATATAATATATCATGGGATATCATGGGTATGAGTGAAAATGGAATATACCCCCAAAACATTCCCATTCGAGTGGAAAAAGAGATGATAAACCATCAAATTTGGGGGTACCTTACTTTCATATGAACATTATAGGTGAAAATTACATAAAATTACTGGACCAAAAAAAACAACAACCAACAGGCCAACAGGGTCCAGGGCTACCAAGAAACCAAGGGTTCTCCCACGGGATCAAACATGTCGGCATGTTTGGCCCCCCCACGGCACACGGGACTCGCGGGTCGTCCACCATAGACAGGTTTCCATCGCTCCCTCTGTTGATCGTGATTGTCGATCTCAGGTGCAAAAGTCATGAGATTCACGAGTGCTTTCTGTAGAAAGCTGAAAGCCAATTTGCCTGAATCCTTAAGCCTTGTGTTTCATGGGCGTTTGTTTTGCTCAAATTGATATGGCTATGTGTTTTCATCATGGTCCCAACCCGGCTCAGGGCTTCTCAGAGGTTTCCCATGTCACATGATAGTTATCTGATACTTCATGTATCTTCACACATGGCACCCCTCAGTTCCCAACAAACAGGAGTGCAAGTTCCTGTGTCACTGTGGAGTCCAGTCCAGAGACATGTTTTTCGCTGGTGAATGTCCCCCCTCTTTTGGTGGTGAATTCAGAACCCCATGTTTGTTCCTTAATGACTTAATTGCCTCCATTTATGAAAATAGACCTGGAGGTTCGGGTTGCCATCAGTGCCTTCCCCAGTCAGCTGGTGTCGCTGAGAAAATCTACTGCAAGTTGAAGTGATCCCCATGGGCCCCGCACAGGTGGATACGCGGTGTTGCAGAGGGCATACGTCTGGCGAAGGATTGGGGAGTCCCGATAAAGGTTGGACGTCCAAGGACTTTGCATCTTTGCATCACTGCATCACCTGTGTTTTGCGGATTTACAAGAGATCATCTAGCGCCTCACCTATATAATTTGATATATCCTATATATCTAGAAGTAAGTCGCTGTTCTATCTTCTTGGGACCTTCTAGATCACAAAAAAACACATGCTAACAAACACCACTCATATTCAATAGTTGCAACTACCAATGTTTACCTCAGCCAAGTGACAAAAAAAAACGCGTCCAATGAAGCCAGCAGTACACAATCAGCAGTCGGGTATCCGATGTGCAGCAAATCGCCAAAGCGCGACGTCCTCGGCCAGACCCGCACCAGGTACTAGCAATTAGGGGTTGGGATGGAAGCCACTATGCAGGAATCTATGGCAACTCCCAGAAGATAGAAAAGTTATTCATCATGACTTATCACTATGTTGGTAAGACTTTACTTGTATATCTTTTCGAGGGTCGTTATGATCCATACATATCCATATTGATCAAAGAACATGTCTGTCCCAGAAGTTGCTGTTTAAAGGCAAACTTGCATGAAACCCAATCTATGATCCCAATTTTTTTAAAAAAAATGGTGCTCCGCAAATGGTCCCCTAAATCAACCACCAACCAACATTCGCATACATTCAACATGTGATTTGGGAGTCCAGAGCTACCATGTAGTCAACTCACTTAGCACTACTGGAAATTCCGAGACAGCTCAGGGGCAGGCGAATTTACCCATGCTCCCTCCGGACAACTGTCAAAAAGGACCTGTGTGCGGGACGGGGGTCACATTCGCCCCTACCCCAGGGTCACATTCGCCCCTACCCCAGGGTCACGTTCGCCCCTACCCCAACTAGGGTCACATTCGCCCCTACCTCACAAACCTTTCCATTGAATAAGTCATTAAACCTTTTAGGGTTTGACCTGGGGACAAGGGACATTTAGGGGGGACTTGGGGGACTTGGGGACATTGGTTAGCGGGGGCACGAGGTCACTTGCCTTTCGACTGAATAAGTCATTCAAGTTTTTAGGGTTTGATCTGGGGACAAGGGGCATTTAGGGGGGATGTGGGGGCATTGGTTAGGGGGGACTTGGGGACATTGGTTAGGGGGGAACGGGTTCACTTGCCTTTTTACGCTTGTACATTACATTACATCTAAGCTACCACACCCGCTATCAAACACACCTGTTTCCTCTGGCAAAAATTCAGTGCAATTAAAGCATCCTCTGCTCACATGCAGACACTGCAACCACACATGATTGAAACGGATGTTACAACGTAGCATCCAGAGCGTCTTGGAAGTTGATTGAAATGGATGTTACAACATAGCATCCAGAGCGTCTTGGAGGTGACTTCAAGTGAATGTTACAAAGTAGCAGCCAGAGCGTCTTGGAACTGACTTCAATTGGGTGTTACAACGTAGCATCCAGAGCGTCTTGGAAGTTGATTGAAATGGATGTTACAAGGTAGCATCCCAAGAGTCGTGAAAATTGATTGAAACGGTTGTTACTACGTATAATCCACAGCGTCTTCGAAGTTGCTTCACGTGGCTGATACAATGTAGCATCCGGAGCGTCTTGGAAGTTGAAATGGTTTTACAACGTAGCATCCAGAGCATCTGGGAAGTTGATTGAAATGGATGTTGCAAACATAGCATCCAGAGCGTCTTGGGAGTGACTTCAAGTAAATGTTACAACGTAGAATCCGGAGCGTCTCGGAACTGACCTCACATGGATGTTACAGTGTAGGATCCAGAGCGTCTTGGAGTTGCTTGAAACGGATGTTACAACGTAGCATCCACAGCGTTTTGGGAGTTACTTGAACTGGATGTTACAACGTAACACTTGAAAAAGACGTCGTAACGTCGTAACTGACTGTCACAGCTGCAAAACGATCCTTTCGAGACTCTGAAACTATTGCGCCTGCCACGCACAACGAGGTGGGGTTACATTCGCCCCCACCCTAGGGTCACGTTCGCCCCTACCTCCACCTTGAGTAGGGCGACCCCACATGAGGTAGGGGCAAATGCGACCCCCGTGCCCCTGCGTGCTGCGCCAGACCACTTCCGGGGGTGGTGAGAAACTCAGCTCAAAGGAAAACTGAAACTGCTCTGCCCACTTGAAGAGTAAGAAACTCCCTATATCCACAAAATAAAACTCGAAAGAAACCATTTGGATCCTCTGAATGGAGAAAGGAGTCCCTCAGAAGAGAACAGCCTATCTAGGATGATTCTAGGATGCTACAAATGATGTTTTTCCCCATGGTTTTCATTTTACGACTTTTCTACCTTTGGGGGTTGCCAAAAAAGGTGATTTCTTTACCGGCAGGATCATCAAGCTCCCCCAATGTTTGCACCTGCCCCACTTGACGTCCGAAGTCAAAGTTCGTGAAGGTCCTAATCTGGATATGCCGCCGGGCAAAGTGGGAGGGGCCAAGCCAACACCATCAGCTGAACATGCTTCGTGGTGGAGGTCCACTGCAATCCGAATGTATTTCAAGTGTTGATGAACCGAAGCTCATAGTGGTAGTAATTCAAACAGAACGAGCGCAGTAGTCCCAAATTCCCTTCATGTCTGCCCCCTTCCATGCTGAAAGGTGGATGCTGTGCCGCCCGGACCCAACCGTTTTCGCCTTCTCCAAAGTGCTTTTCAACCTGAAACAGCTCTGGGGAGAAAAATCAGAGGGTAGTTTCCCCCCAACCCCCAATTGATAGCAGATTTGGCTGCCTGAAAATCTAAACATCTCTAAACATATCTAAACCATCCAGATTTTTTGACGTCCTCAACCATGATCACATCCACATCGTGCTGAGAGTACCAACTTCAAGTCGTCAGGATAATATTCCTGGACCTCGCGAAATCGCAAACGACATGCAATGCCGAGATGAAGAATGTGGTTGAACGATTGAACAATTGAACCAGCAAAATGTTTAGAAGACGAACATGAGGGAATGGTATAGCCATGTCATATTGCCTCACTGGTGGAGTCAAGAGCATTTTCCAGTGGAGATGTTGATTCTGGAGGTAGAATATCCGCTCCCAAGGTGAAATTGCCAGGCAACACACGACAATTGTCTTGCTGTCTTGCACTATCACTATAACAACCACCAAAATGGAATGAAAACCTTGAAATGATGGGGAAAACACCATCTGTGACATCCTGGAAAAACTCTTCGGCATCTTTTTGGGACGGCTCAAGAATGGGACTCCAAGTACAAGTATGTCACCCCTGCAGCTTCAGTTGGGGCCCGTTGGTGACCGTAATACCCCATTGTTACTGAGATGTAGAATCGAATGAAATCAGGCGTTTTCCCCTTGAAACGCAAGCACTGGACGTGGGGAGAAAACCAGCGGCTCACCAATATCACCCGCAAGAATCTGAGCCCAGGACCATCCGTGAGAAGTCTTGGGCCCAGACGACATAGTCGAAGGGAAAGGCAGCAAGGATGGCCAAGAAGCTCTCAGGATAGACCTGTTTTCATCTATATCAGCCATTTAAGGCTGGCACAAGAAGTTGGCATTCAACGAATCTCAGAAGTTTTGCTGACCCTCGGAATCAATAAGTTTTTGCAAATATACCACTTGCAGATGATAATTAGGATATCAGTACTACCAGTATCATATATTGCTGTTATCATTATCATTCTTATGGCTATGATTATTATACTGATGCACAAATTCCTTATGCTAAACCAGGGTTTGGGAGACTTTTGGCAAACAGCACTCCTGGATCAAAAGGCAAATGTCCCATCTTTGGGCCCCCCACATGCATTGCAGCATCTAATCGCAACCTCAGCATCGCAGATAGCGGCTCATTCCAGGTTCAGTCAAACTCATATCTGATGAACTGAATCAAGATTCGCAAAATATCGAAGCAGTATGGCCCAATATGGCGGTATCTTGGGATATGCCTCTCAACAGACTACTCTGCATGGGTGAGGACCCCTTTCAGGGTCTGGCATGGTCACGCCTCGCTCAAACAAGACCTGCAATTTTGCCAGGCTTCCAAGGTTTCCCAACTCGGTCATCTCGGTGATGTCTTATCTTACACTGGGCCCTTCAACAAGTTTGAAATGTAAAATCCTACTAAAAGCGTGATAAATATTATATATAGATAGATTTATATAAATCACTTGTTCCATCCTTTCGGGTTTTTTTTTGAATGATTACACATCAACGGCACGAGAGATCTGCTGACTCCCACCAGACCATCAATGGCTGCTGCTGGTGATGACTGTGATGATGAGGGCAAGGAGGAACAACGACGACCATTGGATGATCAAGATATACATACCATTACATTCCTCTAAAATAGTTCTTTCAATAGGGACATTGATGATAAACCATGGAATGTACCAGTGTACCGCAGTGTACCCTTTTTCAGACAAACCTATCTATACTATCAAGATAGTTCAAGATTGTCAGACCGTGGTGACACCACAGAGCCACAGAGCCCGAGATCTTCTCGGCTCCAGCCGCACCTTGATGTAATTCTTCAGCTGCTCTTGAACCAGCAACTCGGCAGTGATCCCGGTGATCCCGAAAAAATCGGGTCTTGACACTTGGGATGTGCATGATACAAGTGTTTGTGTGTATATATATATATATATGTATATTTATATATACATATGTGTATATAAATATATATGCATACAAATATTACACACAACCATGGGTTTTTTGGGCTGATTAGGCCACACATAAACGAAGTCAGGGCAGGTGTTGTTTAAATCAGCACCTTTCCTCAAAGCGCAACTGCCAGTGCAAAGTGTGCAAAGTGTTGGAGACCCGAAATGTAACTGGAGTTCTGTTCACCACCTTTTCACCTTTGCAAAACAAGCTCTGCGAAGCTGACATTTTCTGTGTCCAGGTCTACCAAGCCGTAGAGATCGCAAAGATATCGATTGTTAGTCCACGGCCTTACAGCTGGGGGGCAACCCTCCGAAATGAGTGGCCGAGTGGCCACTATAGTAGGAAAATGAGAAACCATGAGAAAGCATCAGATCTTGAGCTGCCACGTTTTCAGAGAAAGCTAGCTTAAGGACTTAAGGCTTAAGGCTTGCAACTTGCAACTGTCCAAAGCATCTTTCAAACACGAGTCTTGCTTCTGAATGACCAGTGGAAGTGCGCATCTCTTGTTTGATCAATGCGTCAAGACACATGCAAAGTCACTTAATGTCACTTCATGTCACTTCTAATGTGTCGCTTTGCTGCGGCATTGCTTGGCCAATCAGTTTAACACTCAAAGCCTTCGGGGGCCACAACCAGAACAGGCGGAGATGTCTTAGGCTCGATCGGAATGCCGCAGTTCGACTCCAAGTTGCCTGCGTCCGTTGCCGTTGGGAAACGACGGTCCATGGTGGCATTTCCAGATCTGTTGTCACCGGTGTCACCTAGGTATTTCTATCATTCCAAGGGAATGGATGTGATTTTGCCAACAGAATCAAGTCGAAGCCCACATGATATCCCCCATGATGGTAGGTTATAGTCCAATGAGATCCCAAATTTTCAATGGTGTCTTTCCACCTTCCCCCAACTTCTAATCCGCTGCATTCAATGCCTTCAAAGTGGTGAAACTGCGAGCGCTCGAAATAGTCCAATCCCGGCATGCCTGGCTGATGGGGAAGAGGATGATAAACCATCATCAACCATGAAAAAAAAAACAAATTGCGAGGAAAATATGGGAACATGAGAATAAACCGGCATAAACCATCAAAGTTGGCTCTTTGCCTGATTTTTTGTAGACAAAGCCACATAGTTTGTATCATAAAACCTGAGTTTAAGCCAGTATCCAGGTGCCGCAGCCAAGCGACCGGAATGGAATTCACGGTTACCATAGGGCGTCCCTGACCAACCTGGGAGTGGAACCCAAGTTCACCAGGGCCGCAGCCAGAAATGGAGCCATGGCCAAATCGGGTTGTCTCTCAGATGACTTAGATGTAAAGGTCTAAAGGAACAATTTCCAAAGCATATCATGAAATCACAATCGAAGGGCTAACCGATGTGCTTCCTTAGTATGGTGTGCTTCTCTGGACTGTCAGCATTTCAGCATATTTCAGCAGCACCTGACCCCCAAATCGCAGGGCCTTCACAAGGAGTGGTCGAGAACTTGGGTGACGCCTTCGGAGATCTTCGGAGCAATGCCCGCCATGGAACTGCAATCTTCCAATGACCAGGCCCCTTCCATGTTGCCAGAAACCCATCAAACCAGTACCAGAGTTGTTCTTTTTTAGAAAAACGTAGAAAATGATCGGGGAAAAAGAAATGGTTAGTGCTAAAAACGTGTCAGAGCGATAATCATCCCAAAGTCCTACATACAGTTTCCTAAAATGGGGGGCACCCCAAAAACAAGGATTTCAAAAGTAAACCGGATGATGTGATGGCACCTCTTTGCCCCCACAATGCTTGCCCGCATCGCGATCTTCTTGTGGGATCTGCACCACAGGAGATGCCTTGGGGAGCTGTGCCATCCCCCAAATGTGGGTTTCCTAAAATGGGGGATCCCCAAGGCACCATGGGCTAATTTTGGATGATTTGGGGTACCCCTATTTTAGGAAGCCTCCAAATATGTTTCGGGGTTATCGATAATTATCTTAGTAGGAAAAATGATGATTCACCATGGGATTTTAAGGTACCCTATGTTTGGACATCTGGTAGATGATGGATGATGCTAGATGGCCTTGTCTTGAGTGATCTCGAATCTGGCAGCATCCTACATATCCTACAAATTCCATGCATCGTACCTTACATGATGCAAGAGAATTGTTCAGTTCCCACTTGCCAATATCGGTTTTCCCAGATCGTGGACAGTTTTGTCCAGAACCCTTCAGGAGTACCCACAACCCTTCTGTCTCCTGGAAGTTTGATATTGGAAAATTGAATTCCCCATTTTTTATATATATATATATAGAGAGAGAGAGAGATCAGCAATCTCATCTCCCGTTCATATGATCTGAACACCACCAATATCAACCATGCTGGGCCAAGGGGATGAAATTACACCTTTGGGATCGTTTGGGACCATAGAATGGGTCTATTCAAAAGTCACGACCGGCTGAGGGTTTCAATAAACCCTCCACCGACTCAGCGCCCAGCCATGTGGTTTAGAACGGTGTCGACCATTACTGACACACCCGCTTTGGTGCACCTCCAAGAGCTTGTGACATGTGCAGATTTGTGAAAACTGGGGAATATATATATATATTATATAATATAATATAATATAATATAATATAATCATAATATAATCATAATATAATATAATATAATAATATAATATAATATAATATAATATAATATAATATAATATAATATAATATATATTATATTATATATTATAGATATATATATATAGATATTATCTCCATTCACCAACATTCACCAACAAAATCACTCACCAATCAAACTAATCAAACTAAGGCTTAGCCGCAAATACCCAATATCCGAGCCTTTACCCCACGAATCTATATGAACCTGCTCTTGTAGGGTTCTCCTACAAGTGAATGACGACCAAGCTGTCCATTGTTACGGTTTTGTGCAAAATTGGGTACACCGAAATCCTCCTGGATCAGCCTGTTCCCCATGTACACCCCGGCTCTGGCTTTCCATGATTGCGCTGCGCTGTTTCTGTGCGTGTTGTGCTAGTCCAGATGCCTAATAAAGGAGCAGAAAAAATTTGTCCCACTGATATGAAATTCCATCAGATCCAAAATCATTAGATCCAATAACCAATTACTGAAAGCACAGCATCTGGGAAGTCTTCAGTGTTCCGGGGGAACGGGAGCCTTGATGGTTGGGCCACCCCATCACCTGCGCGTTGCCGAGCCTCGACACCATGTCTTCAAACTCATCGGGCGTTCCCGAGCGTGAATCCAACTTGAAGGAGACGGGCTGATAACCTGGGGTCAAATTCCTATGGTTCTGGGTACCACAGGATGGTTTGACATGCTTTGACAAACTACAGAAGCTGGGAATGATGGACTTTGCTCAGGAGGAAAGCAAAATTCTGCTCATTTTGGATCCTTTTCTTCACACCGAAGCACTGCTGTTGCCCGGAATTGAGTTTTCAAGAGGTGGTTTGTAATATATTTTTGCTTCTCTACAATATAGATGTGTACATATATATATATATACATATGTATAACATCGTACGCCGGATACGTTCTACTCTACACATTTCATGGCATGATAAACAGAAAGGGGTCAAGATGGTTTGCATTTCCAATAATGTTTGATATTTGAAGCTGTTGCTAGTGATTCATGCCTCACATCGTATATGCATATATAAACATTCACTTCACTCACTTTTTTGAGCGTTGCAGACCTGTTTTGTCATAATTAAAAATCGAAAAAAGAATGAACGGATCCGTGACTGGTAAACCTACCATTTATTGGGCGCAGTGTCCCTCTTCCGGCCACACCCAGGCAGAAGAACACCCCCCTGTGCCCCTTGAGGCCCGCCACACCGGGGGGCCCCCCAAGCTCGCGACACTATTGGATCCACAAAAAGAAAAAACACTGCGCCCCCCCCCCATTTTTGGCGAACTTTAGAGCTCATAATGCTCATGCGTTATTGCCCAGCCAACCATAGCAGATAGCACTGATTCAGTCAGTGGTGGGGCTCTTTGCATTTCATTGGCATTCCAAGTGCGGAGCAGCCGCCAAGCACCTGGGAGACAACCATGTAGCTTTGGATCAGCATCTTGAAGCGCCGCCAAAGCATTGCTGGCTTCAGCCCTCCCTTCACCTTCGCTCCAGAGGAGCTCGATGTAATCACTGACAATAGCATCCATGGAATCCCGAACCGTTGGGAGAGATATACCATCCCGTTGAAGATACTCGAAAAAGCGCTGGAGTGGCCCAGCGTATCGCGCTCTCATCTTTGGTTGAACTGTCAAGCTTTTCAATGTACCCATAAATTTGCGAACCCGCTTTCGTTCCTCCTTGGTCTGGTCTCCTCTACTCGCTGCTTTCGCTTTAACCATCTCTTTTTGACTGCCCAGCGAGACGGCCTGTCCGCTGGGTTCTGCGAAGACTCAATGTAGCCCCAAGTGGGCTGGAGACCTGTGGCCGGGAGGAGGGAACCGATCCGCATGACGGTACGTCGAAGCTTCTTTGATGATGATCGACCCCGTGTGAGGCAGTGCACCAAGTGCGCCATCCAAGCTTTTCCGGATCCATTCCGCTCCAGACCGGCATGTGGTTTCGTCTGAATTGTTTGATCATGCACACCACCAATACTGGCCCATGCCTAATAACTGGATCTTAACCACTGGGTCCAAACCATACATCAATCAAGACCATACCTGATTACGACTACGACACGTGCCTCTCAACATTCACACACAAAAACATGTTCCTGGGCGAAGCAGCGTCGGAATCAACTCAAGGAATCTTCGTTGGAGCGTCGATGTCCGCCTCCGCGGTCGTGCGGCTCCTCATGCGACACAACCAGACACGACAACAGGGACACAAGAACTTCGCGTCCTAAAAATCCAAACGTCTGCCACACATCACAAACAAAACGCTACGACCACCAAACCCACGTGTCTTTTGCCAAGGCTCTGGGTCGTACCCTCTGATCCTGCTGCTCCATTTCGCAACACTGATGAAAAAAACTTTGAATCGTTAGGTCTGGCAACAATGCTGCCCGTTTGCACAGAAGCATGGTCGTTTGCTTCACCTCAAACGAGTAGAACCCTTGATTCTGCTGAAACCCTCTGGTCTCACGACGCACTACCCAAACATGAACGTGCAACTGAGACACAGCTGCGTCTGCAAATCGCCGACGATGCCTGCTTGGCACGCCAAGGCGCACCAAGCACGCCTCTGCATTGCTGCCCAAATTCTCATCCGCGTCCTAGCGGCAACTGTGCTGCACGAGTCACCTCTATGCACATGTTCCTTCTCCGACAAGCATTCATACATAACATATCTTTTACATGTTGCCTAATCAAGTTTGCATAATTCGATCCTGGCTGTAGTTTGTGCCGCCGAGAGTAATGCCGATATCCTTGGCGACCGTGCTTCTGAACCTCACTCTTCAGACAAAAGCAGGACACAAGTTCCTCCCCCGGATGTCCATACATGAATGCCTGTAAACCACTGTAAACCTTCACAAATCTCAGCTAAGGCACAATGCACGGCCGCACCCGTGGTCATCTAAAGCATCCAGAAATTTCGCGGTGGATTTGGAAGCCAAAAGCCGTCTGGCCAATTTCGCCACCCGCACTTTAGCCAGGAATTCCAACGCTGACTCAAACCACTTACCACCCGCAGAATTCCACGGAAGAGTGCGCATGCCGTACCCCCCAGCGTACCCATATATTTGCCGCAACATTTGCAGCACCTCATCAGGTCCTTGGCATGAACACATCACAATTGCAACAGGTGTCCATCATCAATGACTGCCTCATTGCCGAAAGCCATCCATGGCTGCAACTACTTCAGAGCACTGCTAAATCCAACTACAGGACCTTTCGGCTTATTTCTCTTGGGGTGAAACATACACAAACTGTGAGACACGGTTTGCCAAGGAACGCTGCAGAAGATCTTCCTGCGTAAAGCCGGGCCAACGTCGGCACCAAGTCAGGAAAATGCCAGCGTTGTTGGTCACTGCCCTCGAAAACCTCAGGTAATCAATTCTCTCCAATGAAACATAAATTCTCCAAACTTGCTTTACAGAACAAGCCCGACTTGCGGAAGTTCGCATCATACGCAGTTCAGAGCATGAATGTCATGTGGACTCACAAGTTCGAAAAACAAACTTTTCTTTCACTTGCCACTGCACCAGATGAGAGTGGATGCAGCAAAAGTTGACAAGTAACAGGATGAACCATATTTTGTTTTGAGGGCTCCAGCTGCAGGTGTCCTCCGAAGATATCAAATACCAATACAACGCCATGCTCATTCTGTCCGATGATGGGTGCGGGCTTCCGTGACGCTGCCTTAGACACTGCCAGGAATCAGCGCACAGCATCATGTCGTCTCCATATACAAATTGCAGGCCAACTGAAAGCTCACGGTGACAAGCGGTTTCAAGCAGAGACGGGGGAGAAGGAAGGTACAATCAAGGCCATTCTGCAAGATAACATGGGCGCATTCCTGCCGTGGCAACATTCTATAACTGCCTGCTTTTCAGTGCATTCTATCCTCTCTGTGTCAAAACCTGTCTCCAGGCACGGCGTCCAACAACGGCCACCAGCACAATAATACACAAGCTCAAGACTCTTATGCGCAAATCAAGTCCCTGGGACCATCCCGGAGGTGTGTGACTTTGTAACCACTCTTCCTCCTTCTCTAACAGATTCCGGGAATAAAGGCGCAGACCTACTTGAAGAAGCGCCTTGATGATTCATCCCATGCTGCTACAAAGCACTGCAAACTGCGCAACAACACAGTATTACGGATGGCACACCGCTTTTACACATTCCACTCAACTGCTAGCTCTCAATCATACTGGAATGCAAGCCAAGGCACCGCCCCCCAGCGGAGGCAAAACATTTGTAAGGATGCCGCCAACCTCCGCCAGGACACGCAATGCTTGCATAACCGTCGTGACGTCAACGGAATGAGCAAACATGCCCATTGGAACCTTGCAATTGGTTGTCGTAAACAGTCAGCAATGTTGGAAAAAAACTGCCGACCACCTCTTGCCTGAACTTTCTGCGCCACCTTCCACTAGTCACACAAATGGTGTCTCTCCAATCAGACGCTAACCCAAAATAACAGCTCCAAAAATCAGGCAAGCTGCATTTCCTCGGACACTACTGGCCCAGCACCCCCAACAATTTTCCCCACAGCAGCCACACCGACGGCTACCGCCCATGGCGTCGACACAAAACGTCGATGGCAAGCCCCCGTATACCTGTTCTTACAACATAACCGACTTTTCTGCCTGTGTTGCTAAACGTCATGCCCAAGTGCTCTCTGCCACTAACTTACCACGCTGACCCTGGTCGAAAAAACTGTTGGCGCTACCCATGGACATCACCGGTAACTGATGAACTGATGGTTCAAGCATGGTACCCATGTTGAATTCTGTTATGTTGTGGCGTCTGATGAGTTGATTGATGGTTGGTTGATGATTCAAACATCAATGCGTATCATCACTACCTGGCCTTGGCAACATCAGGAGGCTGCAGCAATGCTAAAGGTTCTTGGTCGAATCCCTGGGTGCATATTTCGCATCACCAGAACTGCTTCAAGCCATGCATCCAAATTCAAGCATCTAAGTCACACCTTGTTTTGTTCATGAATTGCTTCCCTGCTTGTCACTCATCCATAGCCAACAAATGAGTGCATCACAATTTATTATCCGAAACAGATGTAACTGCGTATTCTTTACGTGCGTCTGGGCATATTATAGTTTTTGGTGCTTGCTGCTGTCATCTTCTCCGACATATGGACGTAACCCGTCGCTCGGGGAACAACACAGGCTAACATGGAGGCCTTCTGCCGAAAACTCCTGGCTCGCCTCAGCGGAATGCTCTCACACATTAACAAACCGTACACCAACGGGGGTGACGTTGACCCAAAAAACAGCAATCAGGAAAATGGATTTGGATCAGCAAAATGGATTCTGATAAAGCGGCGTTTGGATGTCATATGGCCAGGGAAAAGCGTCAAGCTGATGTGAGACCCAGACACAGCAGCACTTCAACGTCAAGCTCCCCGTACACACCGAAATCTGCAGCACCTCAAGATGTCTTTCTCAATTTTGTGGGCGATTCCAACTCCGCATGATCACTAGCGCTACTTTTGCAACCTTCTTGATAGACTGATAGACATTAGACGGATGCATCACTTCGAAATCGTCAATCGTCCAACTCGGGAGAAGCTAGCCTGCTTCTTGGTCAGGCCACGAACAGCATACCACACCTGTCCGTGCAGATGGCAAATCCATGGTAGCCCACATACTCCCTGCTGCGCAAATGATTCCCAGCACAATGGTCCACGATGCTTTTACCTGGAGCTGACAGCAACATCCCTTAAGCCATCCACGGACTCGGTCAGAATTTACAGTGGTCCATCCACCTCAGACAGTTGGCAACGAAACTTCTAAAGCCATTGCAACATATCTTTCCATCAACGCTCACAATTCCGAGGCCAGAACGGGCAGAGTCTCTGGGCTCTGTTCTTCAGCCGGCCACTTTCCCAGTAGAAAAAATGACAAGCTTGGAAGCCGTCCTCGAAGGCGGCTTCGAGGTCAGCAACTGTGATTTGGTTTGATATCTTTTCAGGCACTTCAAAGCCCTTGTTGCTCTTATTCCCCAGCAACAGGAACCAACCATTCTGATGGACTGGCATCGTTTCACATCTCATTGATCCCAAAAAAAGGACACGAAAATGCCTGATTGATGGGAGACCTGCACACGTCACACAATACATATATATATATATACATGTATCGTGTACATACATACATACATACATACATACATACATACATACATACATACATACATACATACATACATACATACATAGATACATTACATTACATTACATTACATTAGATTACATTACATTACATACATACATACATACATATATATATATACATACATATCTAAAATATATGTCTATATATATATATCATATATATCTATATATCATATATATATCATATATATATCATATATATCTATATATCATATATATATATATATCATATATATATATATATATCATATATATCTATATATCATATATATATATATATATATATCATATATATATATCATATATATATATATCATATATATATATGCATGTACATATACCTAGACATTATATGGCGACTTTTTCATCGATACCTGGGGTGTACCACAGACACCAAAAAGTTGCCACACTTCAACCACCTACCACTTCACTTCCACTACTCAAAAGAGGACGCGCCCTGACGTCCTGCGGCGTCTAAAACGACAAGCTTGGAAGCGGTCCTTCAGAACGACTTCGAGTTCAGCAACTGTCATTTGGTTTGATAAGCATTGCTCTCGTTCCAGGCAAGAGGAACCAACCGGTCTGATAGACTGGCATCGTTTTACTTCTCATTGATCCCAAAAAAAGGACACGAAATGACCCAAATGGCGCACGGCTTTTTATTGCAACTCCAGACAGGCATCGGCACCGTCTTAATGCATGGTTCATGCGTTTCCAATGTACGCTCTGGCTTCCTTGATTGCCACTGTACACAGATTTTCCTCGGAGCTTCAAACTGTATGCACCAAGCAATCAAGTAAAAGGATTGGCTGAAAGCCCACAATCAGGCTGCTTACTCACCATCAGACTGCGCCGCCTGTTCCGCCTCCATGCAGCGCAGCCCATGTGTCTGATAAGTTGTGGCAGCCTTCGCAAGCTGCATAGCGTCCTCAGAGAACTTCTGACCGTAGATCGCAAAAGCTCAACAGCGGCCAAAAATTTCAACTCACGGTTTGCTCCCTGTTTCCTGCTGCTTTGCATGTATCTGTTTTGCAGTCAAGCGGCGCTTGCGGGCAGATCCGCCGTCGCCTCTCAATACAAGAAGCTCTCGAGCAAGGGACACTACGTCTTTTGCCGCCGCCAGTCCTGCCCGCTGTTCCTCCTTCGCTGCTCGGAGGCGATCATCAGCTGCCAGCCTCTGTTGGTGACTGGTGTCATCCAACAAGTGTGCCTCGCCCAACGGGCTCAACTGCTGCACAACGCGTTCGATGGTGGCCACCTCCGAAGTCAAGAGAACGACCTCAAATAAGACAAAGGCAACCTGCGCGCAATGTATGTCCGCTTCTATTAGTTGACAACTGTATACATGTATACGCTAGTCCTGCCCAAAGTGTGGCATAGTCTAGGATTCTGCGTCACTGTCCATTGACCCTTCATCTTGGACGCAAAGATCCCAACTTAGCCGATTTTCTTGAACCATCAATGTTCTTTATTCTTCTGCAGTCATGTTCTTACCTACCTTCCTGTCTGCCGAGTTACATGAAGAGTCCATCCTTCGGCAAGACGAACGACCTTTTGAATGTGTCTGAACTCCTGTTGAAGAGCAGCGCGGCAGTTCGCTTTTGCAACGTCACAACTTGGAGCAGGCACAAGAAGCTTGAGCACAACCGTGGACATGGCCAACGAACCCGGGATTTCCAACGGGCGACCAGTTGCAACTGGTGCCTGTTTCCATTGATGGTCAAATACTGCTCAAAGCCAACAGAAAGTATGAATCTGTGTAATTACTGCACCATGGTGGATTATGACACGGCACCGAGAGCATTCACTAAACATCTCATGTGGAAGCATACGCAGCACCGAGTTTGTGACCACAAAATAGTCCAGGAAAGTGAAAATGGTCAACGCCACTTGGCGGTACACCTGGAGCTGGCTCCGTAATGATTGTATTGCGACGGCTATTCTCCCACGAATTACTCCTGAATAAATTCAACCATGCATGCAAGACTAGGCCCCGTTGGGATTCGCCGACATCTCAAACCTGTGCCAGCTCTGGACAATACTGCGGCTGCTGCCAATTCTAAGGCTGCCGCCAATGCGATTGGAATCTGTAGACCGCCTAATCGGAAATCAAGGGCATCTATATTGCACCATTATTATACGATAGCCTGGTGCGGATTTCACCCATTCAATTGAAAGTTGCTGGCTCGTCGTCAGCTACAACTGGCCGTGTTTTTTCTCTCACTCCACGGGCCGGTCTCATCGCGCCCCGCTCTCACCATTGCGCATCATCTGCTTGCAACTTTTGTGTTCCATCTTAGTTATCTCTCATTCCGGTTGGTTCCACATGGCGAAAGCTGTCTAACTGTACAAGCAACCGACCACCATCCTCAAAGCTTAAATATGCGGCAGTGGAAGCTCAAAAGATTGCGGTTACAATGTTCCGGCGTGGCCCGAATTAATTTGATGACAGCCCAAGCCCGACCATGTCAAAGTATGCATTTGGACAACCGTAATGCCTCAAACGCTGATAAGGACAGCAATGTGCATCTGTCAGCATACCTCCCTCCAACTGTGCAAGCAGCCAACTGCCACGTTCAATGGGAGCTCCAAAAGAATGGGCTTACTGGATGTCATCTAGCTCACTCTGTACATGCTTGCGGGATGAGATGACTCCCTCATTTAAACACTGGGATGCTCAAACATTCCATTGCTGCACAATGACTCAATCAATTCGTCCTCCTACCTCCAGGATCCTCCTGCACGGCGGAAGACTCGCCCTGAATCCAGTTTGCAACATCACATGTTCTTGATACAGCCACCAGAATGAAGGCTCTTCATTTCCATCACCATCTCGCTCTAAGCCAGGCAGCGCGGTAATCCAGTACAGAAGTACCTCAACACCGGTCTTCATCAAATCGGGATCGTTCACAAACTTGTCCCCATGCAGCATCAACGGAAGGCCGATGCCTTCTGGCGACAGCAGGATACACGATTGCATAGCACATCCTGCTCGAGAATGCTTCGTTTTCCCGATGCGACTGATGATTCCCTGCACCGCCACGCACTCGTAAGCTTCACCAAGGCAGTTGAAGTCCGTGATGATCCATGAAAGGGATGGGTGGATTGATAAGGATCCTTCGCCAACGACCTGCACATCGGAACTCTTGGTCGATTGGACCTTTGCAAGCCTTTTACCAGCGCAGCTCCCCAGCACAATGACTTCCATGCATGTTGCTCGGATCCTCGGGAATGCTTGCGAGTCTTGAAAGGCTGTCTCGATAGCTCTCTGCTTTTTGGAGACAAGGTCATTCCACAAGTTGACCTGTATGATGCCTCCACCATCTGCAAGCATGAAGCTCAAAACCTTCCTCACACTCAACTGGGGCGGCAGCAGCAGGCAAGGGTGGCTCTGTCTTCACTTCTTTGGCAGGTTCTTGGGCAGGTTCAGGATGTGTCAACTCCGATCGTGCACCTCGCCGCTGGAGCTCGTCTCTCAGATCGGCTTCCAGCAGCCTCAACCGATCTGCCGCCCAGGGAACGTACCCCGGCGAAGGGTTCCCTAGGGCAATCAGCGCAAAAACCCTGGGAAGGCAAGCGCAGATGCCACACCCACAGTCAGGGGTGTGGCCCCACATGCCCTTAAGCCAGAGTTACCATCAAAAACTGAACGTGAATTCATGTTTTTCCCCGAATACGTAAGGACATATATATATGTGTATATATATATGTATGTATGTGTATATATATATATATACTTATTTTAGTTATGTAGTCATTTACTTGTTTAATTTATACATATGAGATATAGCAGGGCCATGGACCTTGGGAAGAGCCATAAACCCACTGCCGAGGAACGCGTCGACCAGGAACTTCCAATGATATGTTCCATTGGAGGTGAGATCTGCACCACGCTGAAGCCAGCAGGACCCAGATAGGTCTCACACCTCATCTGCCAGGCTCGGTGTCTGAACATCGGGCCTGTGGGGTTGATTTACCCATCAAATGGCCATTTTTTGTAGGGAAAATGATCGTTACCACATCAACCATGTAGAGGTGTTTCCCCAACATGTTCAAATTCAAACCCAAATTGGGCCATGGTAATCTTAGCCCACTTGGCTTGGCCCCGCAAACCGGGGCACGAAATCTTGCAGGTATGAAATGGGAACGCGGAAGGATGAAACCAACATCACATGTTTGTGGAGGACTTACCTATTCAGAATATGTCCGAGTCGAAACTGTCCGTGACCAGCTTTGTTTTCATTGGAAGGTGAACTGGCATGACCGAGAATAAATCTTCCTTCTCCACTCAGGAGTGGATGTTTCCTGGGCTGCTGTTTTTCTAGATCACCGGCCCTCGCCAAAGGAATCCCTCATGCTGCCTGTCCCAGCCAGGCCACTCATTGGCGATATCTGGCCAGGGCCATTCAAAGAGATGCGCCATGATATGGTTCTGACCTCCACAAGAGATCAATCCATGATCTGAACAGGCACCAAGATTCCAGCAAATTCCACAAAGGCGTACCCCCAAAATTGATGGTTTATCATCATCCCCATTCATATAGCCATTGAGTTAGCCAATATAGCAATTGTCATGCCATTTTGGGGAGTCTTCCCTCCAAGTTTGGCACAAATCCAGTGTTGCCGCAGGCCCATAATGGCCATAGCCTGAGATGCTACAGTGCTGCGACCAGACTTCCTGTCCGTCTGTGCTTGGCGTGGCGGGGGCATCGATGCCATGGTGACATCCTAAGACAGAGCAATGGCGCGTTTAGGTGTCCGGCTCTGTCAGCAAAGGAACGGAAAGCTGTGTATTGGAGCTGTGGTATAGCTCATGGTATAGCTCATGTAGAAACAGCCATGGGGCAGGGGAAGATAGAAAAGACCGATGATACCGATGCATTCTTGACCCAAGGTGGTCATGGAAACCTTACCCAAATAGTACCTGGAAGTGTCTGGTTGAGCCCGAAACAAAAGTTTGATGAGGGCCTCACAATCTCTCCACTTCTGCATCCCGCCCTCACATCCATCTAGTACAACTGTCTATGAAAAACTGAAAGGTCCAGATATGCTACTATGTTGCAGAATGTTGAATCCACCCCCCAAACAATATATTAATATAACCTGAGGAGGGGGGAACGAAAGCCAGCATCCCATCTACCCCTATTTTCCCCCAATGATTTTTCACCCACAGACTTTTCCCCCATATACTTTTCACCCAGAGACTCTTCACCCAGAAACTCTTCACCAAGAAACTCTTCTTGCACATACTTTACACCGAGGCTCTTGACCCAGAAACTCTGCACCCAGAAACTCTTCGTGCACATACTTTTCACCCAGAGACTCTTCACCCAGAAACTCTTCTTGCACAGACTACTTTTCACCCATACTTTTCACGTATTTTTCACCCAGACACTCTTCACCCAGAAACTCTTCTTGCACATACTTTTTACCCATATACTTTTCACCCAGAAACGGGCTCTTCTTGTACCTTTTTACCCATATAATTTTCACCCAGAGGCTCTTCACCCAGAATCTCTTCTTGCACAGACTTTTCACCCATATACTTTTCACCAGAAACTCTTCTTCTCGCACATACTTTTCACCCACATACTTTTCACCAAGGGACTCTTCACCCAGAAACTCTTCTTGCACATACTTTTCACCCATATACTTTTCACCCAGAGATTCTTCACCCAGAAACTCTTCTTGCACAGGCTTTTCACCCAGACACTCTTCACCCAGAAACTCTTCCCCAGAAACTCTTCTTGCACGTGCTTTTTACCCATATACTTTTCACCCAGAGACTCTTCACCCAGAAACCCTTCTTGCACATACTTTTCACCCATATACTTTTCACCAAGAGACTCTTCACCCACAAACTCTTCTTGCACATACTTGTCACCCGGATATTTTTCACCCAGAGACTCTTCACCCAGAAACTCTTCTTGCACAGACTTTTCACCCAGAGACTCTTCACCCAGAAATTCTTGCACATACTTTTCACCCATATACTTTTCACCCAGGGACTCTTCACCCAGAAACTCTTCTTGCACATACTTTTCACCCATATACTTTTCACACAGAGACTCTTCACCCAGAAACTCTTCTCGCACATACTTTTCACCCAGACACTCTTCACCCAGAAATTCTTCTTGCACATACTTTTCACCCAGAGACTCTTCACCCAGAAACTCTTCTTGCACCTTTTCCTCCGTTTCCCTACGGTTTTTCAAGAGTTTCCTTCCTGCAATTTCCTCATTTTCCCAACGGTTTCGTCAATATTCTCCTTGGTTTTTCCAAGCTTGCCATTCATTTTTTCCTCATTTTTAATGTTTTTTTCAACATTTTCCTCCATTTTCCTCCATTTGCAACCCTTCGCCACTCCTTCCTCGGCATCACTCCTCATCCCCTTGCAAACCGTCTTGCTCCAAACCCCAACGGACGCTGCTCTCCGTTGAGCTGCAAACCGTTTTGCTCCGAACCCCAGCGGACGCTGCTCTCCGTTGAGCTTCGGATCCTTAGTTTTTTCAATATGCTTGCCTCTATGTTCCTAGCTTCTTCAAAGCTTTGCCTTGCCTCCATTTCATGCCTTTTTTTCACCTTTTCCTGCGTTCCTACGGTTTTTCCAGAGTTTCCTTCCTGCAGTTTCGTCATTTTCCCAACGGTTTCCTCGATTTCCTTGGTTTTTCCAAGCTTGCCTAATTGTTTCCTCCAGTTTAATTTTTTTGTTCACAATTTTCCTCCATGTTCCTCCATTTTCCCCCTGTTTTTAACGATTTTCCCTCATTTTCCTTTTGTTTTTTCCTACCTTTTTCCTTCCGTTTTCAAGGGACCTAGGGAGAATCGAACCCGACCGTCATCAAATTGCCTCATGGCACATGCCCCCTAAAAAATTCCAATTGGCCACCCTAATCGAGATTTGTGTGCACCTGCGCAACCTCCACCCCCCACACCCCCTACACTCACTTCGTTCGCGAAAACAACTTTGCCTAGCCTATCGGCTGGCTTTCGTAACAAATCTAGTAAAAGGTTGGTAGGATTTTTTCTTTTAAAAAACGCTAAAACTTTCCTTCACCCACTGCGATTTCTCCAATCACTTCCTTCACCCAGGCTCTGTAAACGAATATCCGAAAACCATGAGCTAAATCGGCTGGGGGTATCATTGGGGGTCATGCAGTTATGCGTAGCGTATACCAACTCTGGGAGCCTGGGGGGGTCGGGATTGAGATCCAGCTTTGGTCCAAGCATCGCCAAACTTGGCATCTACCCTCGGACCAAAACACAAAGGTGTCTCCCCCAAGCATTGTCATCCGCACCTCGCACGGCTGTGCACGTGCGACGAGGCACGGCTGTGGAAATATCTTTGAATCTGTCTCTTGCTGTGCATGTCAAAATATATAATATTATATATCATATATATCATATATATATATCATATATATATATATCATATAGATCATATGGTCATATAGATCATATAGATCATATAGATCATATAGATCATATAGATCATATAGATCATATAGGTCATATAGATCATATAGATCATATAGATCATATAGATCAAATATATATATATCATATATATCATATATATCATATAGATCATATAGATCATATAGATCATATATATATATATCATATAGATCATATGGATCATATAGATCATATAGATCATATATATCATATAGATCATATATATCTTATATATCATATATACATATATATATATCATATATATATATCATATATATCATATATATATATATATATCATATATATCATATATATATATATCTCATATATATATATCGTATATATCATATATATATGATATATATATACATATATGATATATATATATGATATATATATATATATATCATATATATATATCATATATATATGTCATATAAATATATATATATCATATATATCATGTATATCATATATATATATCATATATATCATATATATCATATATATCATATATATCATATATATCATATATATCATATATATCATATATATCATATAAATATATATCATATATATATCATATATATCATATATATCATATATATATATCATATATATATAATATATATATATATATCATATATATATTTCATTTATATCATATATATTTCATATATTTCATATATATATATATCATATATATATATATCATATATATATATCATATATATCATATATATCATATATATCATATATATCATATATATCATATATATCATATATATCATATATATCATATATATCATGTATATCATATATATCATATATATCATATATCATATATATCATATATATCATATATATCATATATATCATATATATCATATATATATCATATAAATCATATATATCATATATATATATCACATATATCATATATATCATATATATATATCATATATATATCATATATAAAAATATATATATCATATAAATATATATATATCATATATATCATATATATCATATATATCATATATATCATATATATCATATATATCATATATATCATATATATATCATATATATCATATTTATATATATATCATACAAACATACATATCATACATATATATATATATATATCATATATCATATATCATATATACACAATATATATATATATATCATATATATATATATCATATATATATATCATATATATATATTTTTTATATATATATATATCATATATATATATCATATATATATGTATATCATATATATATATATCATATATATCATATATAGCATATATATATAGCATATATATAGCATATATATAGCATATATATAGCATATATACCATATATATATATATCATATATATATATCATATATATATATCATATATATATCATATATATATATCATAAATATATCATATATATATATCATATATATATCATATATATATCATATATATATCATATATATATCATATATATCATATATATCATATATAACATACATATATATATATATATATGTGTGTGTCATATATATATATACCATATATATATATCATATATATCATATACATTATATATATTATAACATGCGGAATATATATATATAGATATCATTTGAACTATCTTAAGATACTTTCACACTGGCTGTGATCTGTTTTCCATGGTGAGCCCAACATCCAGTCCTGGTGATCCAAAAATCCTGGATCCACTTGACCGAGCATCCCTATTGAGCATCTGTTGTGACTGTTGTGGATGGTTTATGACAGTTGAAGATTAGGTGAATTAGTTGTTGTGAATGAATCGCCTATTTTATCCATGCATCATGATACTGTTCTGGATTTTCATGGAGGGTATAATAAGGTATTTAATGTTAGGGATGGGAACTATACATATCTATACCAGTTTTAGTGGTTTATAATATGTCTCTTAATAATCTGAAGCAGTTTGAATATGATGGTATTTAGTGATTGATACTGGCGAATTTCACCACCGAGCCGGACCTGACAGTTGAACTTCCCTGTGGTGCTCTGACCGAAGCGATTGATCCCGTAGCTTCCCTTCCCGCGAAATGCGAAGCTATCCTTGGGTCCGGTAGGCCAAGGAAAGCCAAAGCTATATCAAACATGTTCCCTGAAGATTCCCTATATTTGGATGGCCCCAGATCCAAAATAGGAAAAACACATGAACACAACTTTCTACTGCATGAACGCAGTGGAAAAATCAAGAGATTGCACCTGAATCCGCCAAATCTAAGTCGCTGCCGGTCTGTGATCTGTCTCATCTTCAATGAGCTCACAGGCTGACGGCTGAAATCCATTGAGACAGCGTCGCACCGGCGTGAAGGGAACGGGCCTGGGGCGAAGTGTGCCATGGGCCTCCACCAAATATAAGCCTGTGCACCAACCATACATACTAGTGGGTTTTTCTAACCAACCAAAATGGGTATATATATATGATATGATATGATATGATATGATATTTTAAATCATATTATATATTATATATTATATATTATATATTATATTTTTTATATTTTTTATATTTTATATTATATATGTTATATTTTATATTTTATATTATATATTATACTATATATTATGTTTGTTATATAAATAATAAAATCTAATATAATCTAATATAATCTAATATAATATTATATTATATTATATAATACTATACTATGCTATAGTATACTATACTAATACTATACTCTACTGTACTCTACTCTACTCTACTCTACTCTACTCTACTCTACTCTACTCTACTCTACTATATATATATAGTCCTTCGTTCTACATCCTTAAGCCAAAAATCAATGCATATCGTCCCCCATCAAGAAACTCTCCAACAGATCCCCCGGGCCTTTCCATCAAACGAAATTGAACCAGAAGTGCAACAGCGCCTGGGGGGCATCACAACAGGCCACACTTCACCAATGCACGACGCCACCGACTCCGACTCCCACCGACGCCTAAAACGCATCCGAAGAGGATGGCCATCTGTGGCGGGAGCCTCCGCCACGCAGATTTCTTCAAGGTCCAGCTGCGAAAGCGGAGCGCAATGGAACTGTCACGATACCTGGGAGCCCGGCTAGCGGCTAGGTATATGCTGACAATCTGCCAGGATATGCCAGGATCCTCAGGTCCTGGGGTATCCTCACTGCCACCCAGATACAAAGAATTCGAAGAGGCGACTCCCAAATCCTGACGTATCCAAGGTGCCTGAGCTGGGCCGTAGGAATTGGAACATGCTGTCTGCGTGTCAATCGGATGTGGTCCAGTGCGCATTCATCCCGAACATTTTGGAGGAAAGGCTGGCCCCAAATCTGCTACCACCAAGTTGCCGCAACGATTTGCATCGCAAACTGCAACAAAGACAGTGGGACCATGGTTACCACTGCAGCATCCGCCAGCTCTTTCTCATTCGCCGAGATAAAAGTGCTGCTGTTCCGCCGTGCCAGGTATTCGCAAAGGAACGGCGAGGCAAAACTCGCAACTCCTGCAGAAATTCCACTGGGTGCCGCGACACTTGAGAAGGGAATGGACTTCTTTACGTGTGTACATCTATCTAGGGTACCTCTGAGTGCAAAGCGCCCTGTCTTGTCATGTGCTTTGGGATTCTGTTTTACATCAAACTAGACATAGGCTATAGATGGCTATAGTGACAATAGTGTCCGTTATGTGTCCGTAATTATATATCAGGACACCAACTCCTACTGTAATCAACGTACAAAGGTTCATACCGATTCCTTCAGCTCCAAGGATTACACAGGGTGAAGCTCATGCCCTGTCCATCCTGTCCTTGCATGGAAATGAAGATGCTGCCTCAGGTGGAACTGCAACTGGCCCTGGTCTTGTCCTTTGCCCCAACATTCCCCAAGTACTTGGTGATTTATGGGTGCACTTAGGCATTCTTGGTCCTCTTGGTGCTATCAATGAAGGCTAAGACGTTCAACATGATACTGCCTCATCTTGCAGTTCTGGGCGGCAAAAGCATCTAGAATCTGCTAAACACCTGCCTGAAGAATAATGAGTCATTGTGGGGGCCAAGTCATCCCATGTGTATCCATTTGTGGGGTTGGAAATAGGATCTATTTGGGTTTGTCTCTTAGATGTTCCCTCTTAAATGCCCAATTGAGGGATATGCGCCATATTCAGACACGCCCACCAAGCAGCACTACACACATCCCCAGCCGCCCAGTTGCCATAGCTCAACAGTCTCCATCGGGAATTCAGCACGCGAACCTTCACAGCCCAAGCCGAAGAGCATCGAACTCCTTCGAAGATCAGCGAGAGGCAGCCTCAGTTACCCTCCAATTAACAGAGATTTGGAAGACCCTCCATTTGTAGATCATTCTCCTTGGGAAACCATGGGTTTTCCACATCTATGTCAATTTCCTGGATGGTAAGCAGTTTGGATGAAGGTTTCAAGAGTGACAGGAACCCCCTGAACCCCCATACTTATTCGGGAAAACCAAGGTTTCGTGCTAAAGTTTCCCTCAAACACTCGAACGAGTACAATGATGGGTCCTGCAAAACCACTTTCGACAACTCGAGGAGCACCGCTTGAGGATATGTGTAACATGGTGTAACCCCTTTTCAGCCTGGTGGGGGGGTCATCATTCTCTGGATCAAAGCGTGCACCCACAGAAAAGGAACAAAATCTGGCCCAAATCTGTGAAAAAAATGTGGGATGCCATGTTTGATCCGTCAATAATTGACTGTAAACCCTGCAGCTAGAGAAAATTGCTACCAGATCCCACTGATGTCGGGCCACAAATGATCACTGCCACGTTGGATCGTCCCAGAAAGGTGAAGGTAGAGACCTCACTGCTGCACCCTTCGGTGAACATCGCAAACATGTTGCCGAAATCGACAAGCATGATCTATCTAAATGTATATCATTGACCTCCGATTTTAACTCTTCATACATGTTCTGTTCCAGAGATTTCGGATTTTACAGAAATTACACCAAGCAACTCTTAGATTCACCATGTTTCACCACATTTCTTGGCATTTCACCGGTCCCCGCCTCTTCTTGCACGATGGCGCGCAGCATGGTGGCCGGGGGCAGCAGCAGCGTGACACCGATCAACAATGCGAAGCCGTGGATGATAGCACTGCCCAAGGCTTTGGCCCACAGGATGGTCACACCTTCCGGCCCCAAAACCCGGTGAAAATGATAAAAAAGGAAACTGGCTCTGTGTATGCATGCATGCATGCATGCATGCATGTATGTATGTGTATGGATGGATGGATGGATGGATGGATGTATGGATGGATGGATGTATGTATGTCTGTATGTGTGTATGTATGTATGTATGTATGTATGTATGTATGTATGTGTGTATGTATGTATGTATGTATGTATGTATGTATGTATGTATGTATGTGGGTATGTATGTATGTATGTATGTATGTATGTATGTATGTATGTATGTGTGTGTATGTATGTATGTATGTATGTATGTATGTGGGTATGTATGTATGTATGTATGTATGTATGTATGTGGGTATGTATGTATGTATGTATGTATGTATGCATGTATGTATGTATGTATGTGGGTACGTATGTATGTATGTATGTATGTATGTATGTGGGTGGGTATGTATGTATGTATGTATGTATGTATGTATGTTTGTATGTATGTATGTATGTATGTATGTGGGTATGTGGGTATGTATGTATGTCTGTCTGTCTGTCTGTCTGTATGTATGTATGTATGTATGTATGTGTGTATGTATGTATGTATGTATGTACGTATGTATGTATGTATGCATGCATGCATGTATGTATGTATGTATGTATGTGTGTATGTGTGTATAGTGTATATTGTATGTTGTATATTATCTATATTATATTTATATTATATATATATATCATATATTATACATTATTCATTGTAAATACACATTTATATATATATATATACACATATATATTGTATATCTCTTGTATATTGTATATTGTATATTGTATAGTGTATGTTGCATTTTGTATTTTGTACATTGTATATTATATTCTTTATTTTGTATTATTTATATATATATATATATATTATTTATATTGACAAAAACCGATAAATATATATATATATTTCCCCAACAGCGTAAGCTAATGGGGCCTTCAGCCCAGAATAGCTCCGGTGTGCGCCGGTGCAGGCACCGGGTCAGGTTCAACGATGTTCCGGAGAAGGTTCCGGAGAAGGTTCCAGGAAGCCTTGGTGCAAAGCCAAGTCAGGTCCAACAGGGTTCCGGAGAAGGTTCCGGAGAAGGTCGGGGAGGCTTTGGTGCAGAGCCAGGTCAGGTTCAACAGGGTACAGGAGAAGGTTTCGGAGAAGGTCTGGGAGGCTTTGGTGCAGATCTAGGTCCGGTTGAACAGGGTTCCGGAGAAGGTTCCGGAGAAGGTCTGGGAGGCTTTCCAAGTCTTTCTGGGCTTCCAAAGACTGGAGGTGCCATGCCAGCTTGCGGCAAAGTGCCGGCTTGCGGTGCGTTGCCACCAGAGCCATTGCCAGCCATCCCAGAGGGAGCTTGTTGTGGTACTGCCGGATGTACTTGTTGAAGTCCACATCCACCACATGGTGCTTGATGAGGTAGAGGTCCACATCCGCCAAAAGGTGCTTGATGAGGTAGAGGTCCACATCCACCAAAAAGTGCTTGATGAGGTAGAGGTCCCACATCCACCAAGAGGTGCTTGATGAGGTAGAAGACCACATCCACCAGGAGGTACTTGATGAGGTAGTACAGGTCGTAGTGGTGTCACTCCGTGGGCTCCAGTGCCGTACGATCCATAGGAAGGTCCATACCCATTCGGTCAAAGGCCATCAAGGGCTTGTTGGGGTAGTCCAGCAGGTAGGGCTCCTCCATGGGGTTGAGGTACTGTGCCATAAAGTCCATGGTGCACTGAGCTCCACGTAGAGGCCGGTGGTCCAAACCACGCATGTTGCATTGGGCTCATATCACGTTGGAGCCGCTGGGGTCCTCATAGCCAGGTGGAGCTGTAGCGCCATTCATGTCGGCTGGGCTAGTCATCGCTTCAACACCTTCGGCTTCATGTCCAGTTGCAGGCGCGGTGGAGGAACCGGCAGCGTCGTTCGTACCGAAGTAGTTGCTAGTTGCCCCACCATCTGTCTGATGGCCATCACCTTGTGGATCCCAAGCTCCATCCGCGGCGTCCGCCTCGGCGTAGTTGCCGTCGTCAGCAGCTGCATCAGCTTGTTGACCTTGTCCCCGACCAGCTGCTCCATGTCCACGAGGTCGGTATCGTCGCGGAGCTCCTCCCGGCATGGCGCCGGGTCAAAGGCTGCCGGCCGTAGCCCCAAGTTTTGCAGTTGATGAATTAACGTGGATGTATAGTATATGATAGGGACAAAACCAATACCATACCCTCAAGTTTTGCAGTTGATGATACCATTTGAGAGTTATGGCAAACTTTGACAAACCATACTCTAATTTAACACCAATCACAAGCTGCTTCCGAGTCATACCCAGTAGGAGTCTTTTGTTTCAATGAATCGTTTTGAGGGATTTGTATCAGGAGATTATCGTTTTGATCTCTCGGGGAAGGTCCTCTAGATTTCTCCTGAGCTTGGATAAACCATACCATACCCCATGCGATTTAAATCACCCACCATCGATTCACAATTTATTCTGCTGCATGGCCGCTTGAACATGTGCTCAGAATCAAGGGACACGATCCCATGAAAATTAAAAACTCTCGCGCGAAATCTACATGTGACATGGAAGTGGAGACTCGCAGGGCCCCCGAAGAGGATGGAAGCATAGAGCTGCAACATGTTGGGTGTGATGCGTGTGTTCTCTATTGTTCTCTGCGTATTCAGGTTAGCCAAGATTTACCGTATTCAAGTTTTGCTCCTCCTGGATGCCAGCAATTCTCTAGTCTGGATGTTTTCCCTTATTCTGTCTGGTTTCTTTTGGGTTTATCTATCTGTCCATCTATCTATCTATCTATCTTATCTTATCTTATCTATATATCTATCTATATATATCTCTCTCTCTCTGTCTATCTATCTATCTATCTATCTTTCTATCTATCTATCTATCTGTCTCTCTATCTACCTATCTATCTATCTATCTATCTGTCTGTCTGTCTGTCTGTCTATCTATCTATCTATCTCTCTCTCTCTCTCTGTCTCTCTCTCTGTCTCTCTCTCTCTCTCTCTCTCTGTCTGTCTGCCTGTCTGTCCGTCTATCTATCTGCAAGCTTGAAAATGTTCACTTAATGTACGTTGGAAAGTGTTCGATCTAAATGCCCCCCGGGTCTCTCTTCCCCTGTTGCCCGCTGTTTATCCCAAGCCCGTTCCATCCCGTTCCCTTGGCTGTAGTTTCGCTAGAAAGTGGGCAAGGACAGTGGGAAGGTTTGTCGCGTCACTGACTCCCGCTGTATCCCGCAGTCCTCTCATCAGTACCACAAGCCTCAGAAACGGTGATGGATGAATCATGAGAATGCAATGGAAATTTATCGGAACGTATTGGAGCATGAATGGGACCTAAATCTGAGTAGACCTAAACAATCCTAAACACATATAATGCCACAAAATACACCAGGCTTCGATAAAATGCTTCAGCAACTTAACTTACCGTCAAAATATTTTTTCAAGATCAGAATCAAGGTATTGGAGCCACCATGTTATGATAGTATATTGAATGCAATCTGGGCAAAGTTTAATGATTCACTCATGTGAAATGGGCAAATTTCAGGCGAATATTAAGATCATTCCCCCTACTTAACATGAATCCAGTGCGGCCGCATCTTCGCGGATGCTCCTGAGGCTTCAACCCATCTTCAACCACATTCTTCACGGACAATCCTGGGCCGCCAGGGTCGTGGGCGAAGTCCGTTGCATCCGTATCTATACCTATACCTATATATCCAATTCTACTATTAACGATGTCTTCATTTTATCTATGGTTTACCAAGATTTATATCCAGGTATGGTTAGAATATATTAGCAACCACTATATATTAACCATTACAGTACTAACCATAGATAAATCACCTGGTTTGTAACTTTTCGGAAATCCCGGGATTCCAGTGATAGGCTCGACATTTATGGCTTTAGCCTCCAAAATGAGAATTTCAGAGACATGACCTACATGGAGGTGTCCGTTTTGTCATGGGGGTACCCTCTGGTAAACATACAAATGGCCATAGAAATAGTGGATTGACCCATTAAAAAAAGTGATTTCCCGAAGTTATGACAATGTCATGGGGTTCCCCCAATTCATCCATGGATCACATTTTAGTGAAGCCGATGATGAAAGGGAATCCATAGGAAAGCACCACACAGAAACGGTCCTAAGAGGACGCTTAGGATATTTTAGGATTTGGTTAAAAAAAGGCCCAAATAGATAAACATGGTTACTTCCTTTGGCCAACAATACTTTGGAAAGCGTGATGCCGATTGGTAAATTGGCTAAGTTCACCCCAAGAGTGGCTATCATTTACCTATAGCCTATAGTGAATATAGTAGGTTGGTGCACCCCTGAATTGTAGCACTGGGTCACAAGCAGGGATAAAAGAAGTTGTACAGCCTATACACCCTCATCCCACTACACCCTGAACAAATAAAACTATGTCAGATGAGTACCACCCAGATCCACCCAGCACACATCTCAAACATGTCATCAAGGGAAAATTTACAGGAAACCCTACATTTGACGGGGAAAAACAATGATTCCCTACAGGTTTTCCCTTTAATCAATCCATTAAACCATGGGAGAAAAAAAACAGATTTCAGACCTCCTTCTGTACCCATTTCACCATTGTTGAATTAAACCAATTTTCCTCCACCAGCATGAAACATGTCTATCTTGATGGGGTTGCTATATGCAAATATATATGTAAGCAGCATGGCACATAAATTCAGACAATGCAGGCCGCAGCGCTGACTCGCGCTTCAGTGTGCCAAGGAAAAATATTTAAATCATATTTAACCCACAATATCATTGCGATTGATTTTGTCGAATCACTGATCTCCTGCGAAATGCGCATGAAACTCCACCACAGCCACTATCGATCACACTGCGCTGCAATGCCGTCCCACGGGATCCACCGGTTCCACCGCTGAACTCACACTGCAAAACATGGCAATGGAAATTCCTCTGTACCACCAAATATATTCACCTCCTATATCACCTCCTTGTCCCTCTTGCTGAAAACAGAGAACAATGGAAGACCGTTACCCGCAAAAAATAGATCACCAGACATGGAAATATTGCTGCTGAGGTGTAGTACCATCTGTACTGCATAATATCGCTGTCAAAAAATCCCACAGTATAAATCAATGATTTTGAACACCGCCCAAATGTTTAATAATGTTGGTTTGATCTACACGCCAATGATATTTCCGAGAGGCTGAAAACCTATATGTATATATACAGTTACAGAATCAATCCCCTCCGATACCCTCCGGTAATCAAACATGGCTAGCTGGAAAATCACGCATTTATACGCATTTACTTTGATGATCTTCCCATTCATGTCTCCAGTTACTGTATGGTGTTTTTTGTACCATTGTTTCCATATTATCTGGTGGGTGGTATACCTACCCCTCTGAACAATATGAGCTCGTCAGTTGGGATGATGACGTTCCCAACTGAATGGAAAACTTGAGAGGGGGAACACGAAAGGTAGGTAAGCAAGAAAGGAACCGAAGAAAAAATGAAGGGGAGAGGGCAGGGAAAAAAACATAAAGTGGAGTCTGGTAAAAGCGACGCGGCCAGTTTCTTTCCAAAAATATGAAGGGGAATCTGGTAAAAGCGACTGAAAGGCTTCGGCGATGTGGTTGGGGTTGGTGGCGGTTGTGGTGTTGGTGGTGTTGGTGGTGCTGGTGGTGTTGGTGTTGTTGGTGTTGTTGGTATTGGTGTTGTTGGTGTTGTTGGTGGTGGTAGTGTTTCTGGTGTTGTTAGTGTTGTTTGTTGTTGTTGGTGTGGTTGGGTTTGTTGGTGGTGTTGGTGTTGTTGGTCGTGTTGTTGGTGTTGGTATTGTTTGTGTTCGTGTTGTTGTTGTTGTTGTTGCTGCTGCTGCTGCTGATGGTGGTGTTGTTGTTGTTGTTGTGTTGTTGTTGTTGTTGTGTGTTGTTGTGTGTTGTTGTGTGTTGTGGTGTGTTGTGGTGTGTTGTTGTGTGTTGTTGTGTGTTGTTGTGTGTTGTTGTGTGTTGTTGTGTGTTGTTGTGTGTTTTTTGTGTTGTTGTTGTGTTGTTGTGTGTTGTTGTGTGTTGTTGTGTGTTGTTGTGTGTTGTTGTGTGTTGTTGTGTGTTGTTGTGTGTTGTTGTGTGTTGTTGTGTGTTGTTGTGTGTTGTTGTGTGTTGTTGTGTGTTGTTGTGTTGTTGTTGCGTGTGTTGTTGTGTGTTGTTGTGTGTTGTTGTGTGTTGTTGTGTGTTGTTGTGTGTTGTTGTGTGTTGTGGTGTGTTGTTGTGTGTTGTTGTGTGTGTGTTGTTGTGTGTTGTTGTGTGTTGTTGTGTGTTGTTGTGTGTTGTTGTGTGTTGTTGTGTGTTGTTGTGTTTTGTTGTGTGTTGTTGTGTGTTTTTGTGTGTTGTTGTGTGTTGTTGTGTGTTGTTGTGTGTTGTTGTGTGTTGTTGTGTGTTGTTGTGTGTTGTTGTTGTGTGTTGTTGTGTGTTGTTGTGTGTTGTTGTGTGTTGTTGTGTGTTGTTGTGTGTTGTTGTGTGTTGTTGTGTGTTGTTGTGTGTTGTTGTGTGTTGTTGTGTTGTTGTTGTGTTGTTGTGGTGTTGTTGTGTGTTGTTGTGTGTTGTTGTGTGTTGTTGTGTGTTGTTGTGTGTTGTTGTGTGTTGTTGTGTGTTGTTGTGTGTTGTTGTGTGTTGTGTGTTGTGTGTGTGTTGTGTGTGTTGTGTGTGTTGTGTGTGTTGTGTGTGTTTTGTGTGTTTTGTGTGTTGTGTGATGTGCGTTGTGCGTTGTGCGTTGTACGTTGTACGTTGTGCTTTGTGCGTTGTGCGTTGTGCGTTGTGTGTTGGTGTTGTTGTTGTTGTTGTTGTTGTTGTCGTCGTTGTTGTTGTTGCTGTTGCTGTTGCTGTTGTTCTTGTCGGTGTTGGTGTTACCCCTGCAGCGTTTTTGCTCGGTTCCGTAGTGGCCGAAAATCGTCAAATCGGTGGTGTTTTCGCGTGTTTTTGCATCGCTCGGAGCAAAAAACACCGTAAATACCAATGTTTTTGGCGGGTCGGAAGCCCAAAACCACGGTATTTACGATGTTTTTTGCCTCTGGTAGTAAAAAGCACGGTATTTACAGTGTTTTTTGGCCAGCACCTAGCAAAAACACTGGTATTTACGGAGGTTTCACCATGTAGCAAAATGTGGTTTCTTGATCCGAAAAGAACAAAAATACTGTAAATTACAGTATTTTGAGTCTGCTCTTAGGGTGCGTGGGAGGTGTGGAGGGGGGGGGGGGTACTAAAATGACTAGCAATCTCCTGAAGAATCAGGTAACGGGGCTGGCCGCCCTCCCCTTTACTTCGTAAAGTAAAACTCAAGGTAGCCCCTCTGGAGCTACCTTTCGTGATAACATGAAAAATGTTCCAAACCACCAACCAGTGTATATATATATATATATGCCATATACCATTGAACCCCTTTGGAGATGATCATATACCATTAAATCCCCTTTGGAGAGAGAGAGAGAGAGAGAGATAATGAGATACATATGCATATATAACCCGAGAAAATTGCTGGCGTACAAACACCCACAGCTCTCCGGACCCCTTGGGCGCAGCGCCGTGATGGTGGCACGGCACCTGCAGCCGAAAACCGTCGATGATGTCACATAATTTGTCGAAGGGAATTTAGAAGTCAAACTTCTGACAATATGGACACATGAAACGCGGAGGTGATTAGAGGTGGGAAGAGTCAAAGAAGAGAAGAGAAGAAGAATGAAGAACCAGATGCCGGAAGAGGTAAGAAAATGTAAGAAAGTCGCGAAACAGGTTTTTACCAATGATTATCTGAGGCTCCGGAGGGTCGAAAAGTAGGCTCATGTAATCTCATGCAGGCTCGCTAAAGCGGCGGGTGCGGATAGGTGCGGAGTCAGCTGGCCAGATGAGAGATGAAACATAGCACGCCGTTGTGGCGCGAAGCACATCTCCAAGTCAAAATGCACAAAACACACCAGGTTCGGACCATCTCGGACCACTTTTGGCCGTTGCGATGTCGAAGCAGTGCACGACAGTGCACGCCGTTGTGCCGCGAAGCAAATTTCGAAGTCAAAATGCACCAAACACCAGGTTCGGACCTTTCGGACCACTTTTGGAAGTTGAGACGTCAAAAAGCACGCATAAGCACGTCGCGAAGTCAAAATGCACAAAACTGAAGGGTACGTAGCACTTTTTGACGTTCAGATATCTTTTCGCGTGGCAGCCGCAGTACAAGAGACCTGTTCATCAGAGCTGTTCCTGAGAGGGGCTGAGGATGGCTGAGGTTTACTGAGATGATTTTGCGTGACAGATGCAGCAGCACTAAGTATGACAGGCGCAGTAGTTTAGACAGGTGGAGTCGAAAAACGAAAAACGCATTGGCACAAGGCTGTCAGGTCTGCACTCAACTTTCCATTTTGGAAGGAAGACGCGCAGAATTGCTTCGTTTTTGACGTTGTCAAGTGCACAAATTCAGGAAGTCTCGCTGAATTGCCGCGATTTTGATGCTGTCAAGTACAAAAACTCAGGAAGTCTCGCAGAATAGCTTCGTTTTCAAGCTTGCTGATTGACAGATAGATAGACAGAGATAGAGAGAGAGGGAGAGAGAGAGAGAGAGATGGATAGATAGCTAGCTAGATAGATAGAAAGATAGATAGATAGATAAACAGACAGACAGACAGACAATGACAGACAATGACAGGCAGACAGATAGCTAGATAGCTAGATAGGTAGATAGGTAGATAAATTTGACTAGATTGGATTGGACTAGATTAGATTAGATTTTGATTGGTTGATAGGTAGATATATAGATAGATTGCTAGACCAATAGATTGTTAGATAGATAGATAGATAGATAGATAGATAGATAGAGCTAGATAGAGCTAGATAGAGCTAGATAGAGCTAGATAGAGCTAGATAGAGCTAGATAGCTAGATATAGCTAGATATAGCTAGATATAGCTAGATATAGCTAGATATAGCTAGATATAGCTAGATATAGCTAGATATAGCTAGATATAGCTAGATATAGCTAGATATAGCTAGATATAGCTAGATATAGCTAGATATAGCTAGATATAGCTAGATCTAGCTAGATCTAGCTAGATCTAGCTAGATCTAGCTAGATCTAGCTAGATCGATAGATCGATAGATCGATAGGTCGATAGATAGATAGATAGATAGATTTGGGAGCTCTCAACCCTAAGAAACAGTAATGTCCCAAACGTTGAGACACAAAACAATCTCAAGTCAGCTGCTGAAGACAGCAACTACAAAAACAATGTTCAATCATCCCGATGTCTACAAGTAAAACACGTCACAGAAAATGATCTGTAAATATTGGATTGGCTTAAAGATTTTAAGAGAATACCCACAGGAAACCAATGTTCTTCCCACACTTTTAAATGATAGGGTTTTCCTGCAGTGTTCCCGTCAATATCCAATTCAGGGATAAGGTGTTACTCAAAATTCGCAACCTCAAATATCCTCAAATCCCCTGGTTTGGTTCATCAATTTATCACTTTATATCGAGCTTCATACATTCCAATGATCTATTCTCGCAATATATCTCTTCAGTAATCATTATATATAATAGCCCCGTTGTGCCCATAAAACGGTTGATGTACCCTGATTCTTGTTGGTTATTAATATAGTTATATATATATCAACATATATATATATCAACATCACAATAAACCACCATGTTTTAGGAATGATTCCACAAACACCAGACAACATTTGGCTGGTTCAACCTAGCAAAGATGTACACCTAGTGTAACCATTGGGTGTCTGGAAATCGGGCACCCCAGAATCCCCATGTTTCTCATCATCTGCATTTCATGTTCCCCATGACCAGCAAAAACATGCTCCATGTTAAGACATAATGAATATAGAGAGCTGACAAGAAGTTGGTGGCAACATGTGGCAACTGACTCCTTTGGAAGCACTCTTGGGCATGGGGAGGGAAGCTTTTAAACCCTAAACCCTAAAACCCTAAACGCTAAACCCTCAGTCACGCTAATTCCGCTCGGTGGGCAGAAGGGGCTCCGCTACCACTGTTTCAGTGGTCAACCCTAGGGGCAAGCAGTGCGCCCCTTTTGCGCGCTCGAGCCGAGCTCAAGGCCTCCCGGGACCGAAGGTGAGACTCAACACTGTAATGTTACATCGACAGATATATATGTATATAGAAATATAGATATATATGTATATAGAAATATATATATATATTTCTATATATATATATAGATATATGTATATATATATATACATGAGCTCGGTCCTGTAAGGACCAGGCCAAGCACCCTGATGTTCGAAAGCAACACATTGTTTGGCACAAAAATGGGGAACTAAGAGCAAATGTGTTGGGAAACCTTTCACCAAGACATGCTTGCCTGTGAACTTACCCCCTAAACTTCTACTAAGCACTCACTTCCAGCTTTTGCCTCTCTTTGACAAGCCAGTATCCGATCTGCGGGAGCTTGGGGTTTGGCCGGCCGATACAAAGTTTTTCATCCATCTTTGCTCAGGACTTAGGCGTAATGGTGATCTCATACATCCTGTTGAGAAGTCATGTGCAGAGATTGGTGTGAACGTCGTTGGGCTGGCAGTTGATCCCTTGGCACAATTTGGGTTTCCGGATGTCCCGAAATGTCCCGTAGCCCCCCCCATAGTATGGTCCCCTCCTCCCTGACCTAGAATCTTTCATTTCCCTCATATTAAGGGTATTGGAGGATGCCAAGCTGCCGGGATGACCTCTTGGAGAATGAAGACTTCTTCGACTGACTGGGAGTGGGGAATTCTTCTTCCTCAGCACATTGACGTTTGGCTGCAGCTTTGAAGATCCCAACTGAAAGATCTAAACGCACGATTCTTGCGAAACTCATCCATCCACCCACATAGTCAAATTGTTCCCCGCATCTTTGTGTGGGGTTCTTGTTTTTGATTCTGTATCCCGCCTCCTCCCCGCCGCCGCCTCCTCCTTTCTTCATTCACACACGACTTTGTCACACACCATCTTTCACACACAACTTTGTCACACACCATCTTTCACACACAACTTTGTTACACATCATCTTTCACACACAACTTTGTCACACATCATCTTTCACACACCTATCTTTCACACACAACCTTTGTCACACACAACTTCATCACACATCATCTGTCACACACCCATCTTTCACACACACCTTTGTCACACACACAACTTCATCACACATCATCTTTTTCACACAACATCTTTCACACACAACTGGGCTGGGTCTGGTGGCGCGCTTGGACCGGATTGGTCGCAGGTGACGCCGCGGCACTTTGCGTGGCAGGTGTGGCGCTTGGCGACATCCACCTTCGTTTTGCATGGCAGGCGTGGCGCTTGGCGACATCCACCTTCGTTTTGCCTGGCAAGCGTGGCGCTTGGAGACATGCACCTTCGTTTTGCGTGGCAGGCGTGGCGCTGCTGACACTGGGCTGGGTCTGGTGGCGCGCTTGGACCAGATTGGTCGCCGGTGACGCCGCGGAACTTTGCGCGGCAGGCGTGGCACTTGGAGACATCCACGTTCGTTTTGCGTGGCTGGTGTGTCACTTACCATCTTTCACACAATATTTTTGTCACACACCATCTTTCGCACACAACTGTGTCACACACCATCTTTCACATGGTATCTTTCTCACACTTTGGACGTTTTGGCCCCAGCAGAAATAGTGTGTTCTAGCATAGTCAGTCCCGTTGTTCAAGTAGCAGTTGCATAGCGCAATTCATGGCGTGCTGATCAGATCATCTTCTTTCCGGCATGTTTAACCACCTGCTTCTTCGGCATGTTGATTCCCTCGGCCGGTGTAATTTGGTCCTACGATCACTTAAGCCGAAACTTTGAACATCACTTGGGACGAAAATGACCCCCTCACATTTTCGACAAAACCTTCTGATTACCTGTAAATTACCAGGAATTTATGCTATCACGCAATGAAAAAAAAGGTCCTGAGAGCCACCTGTCTATGTTGTTGCACAGAATGTCACAAGAGCCACGACACCTTTAGGGTTTATATCTTGCAGGACTTGATGTAAGAAAAGCTACGAGACCTTGAGGGTTTATATCTTGTTACACTTGATGTCAGCACAGTGGACGTGCAAGCACACAAGCGCCACTTTTATACGGACATTTACAGGTAAAATACCGATGCCACTACAGAGCCGCACAAACGACATCAAAAACAACACGCGCAAAAGCGCCGCTTTGTACGGAAATTTACAAGTAAAAACCCGACGCCAAGAAAAAAGCGGCACAAGCGACGTCAAAAAAGCAACACGTCAAAACGCAATTTTATACGGTAATTTACAGGAAAAACACCGATAGCAATAAAAAAGCATCACAAACGACCCAAAAAAGCAGCATAAGCGACGCACAAAAAAGCGGCACAAGCGACTGCCTTACCCCTCAATTTAACCACCTGCTTCTTCGGCATGTAGATTCTTTCGGCCTGTGTAATTTTGTCGTGTTTCGGCATGTTTTATTTTCTGGTATGTTTAGCAACCTTTTGGCATGTTTTGGTTGGTATGTTGTCGCTTTGACCCGAACTAGCACTTGCATAAACGGCGTCAAGCTATGGCATGTTTATTCTTTCGGCCTGTTCAATTATGTCCTGTTTCGGCATGTTTTAAGATCCGGCGTGTTTAACCACCTTCTTCTTCGGCGTGTTTATTCTTTCGATCAGAGCATGTATTTCTGCTGTGGTCGCTTTGGCCCAAACTAGCACTTGCATAAGCGGCGTCGAGCTTTTGCATAAACGGCGTCAAGCTTTGGCATGTTTATTCTTTCGGCCTGTTTAATTATTTCCTGTTTCTGCATGTTTGATTTTCCGACATGTTCAATTAGGTTCTGTTTCGGCATGTTTGATTTTCCGGCATGTTGAACCACCTGCTTCTTCGGCATGTTGATTCTCTCGGCCTGTTTAATTTTGTCGTGCTTCGGCATGTCTTATTTTCTGGCATGTTTAGCGACCGTCAGGTTCAACAGGGTTCCGGAGAAGGTTCCGGAGAAGCTTCCAGGAAGCCTTGGTGCAAAGCCAAGTTAGGTTCAACGGGTTCCGGAGAAGGTTCCAGCGCGATTTGCACAAAATAAAACATTGCGGCTGTTGGGGATACCACCGAAGCTTGTTTTATATTATATATTATATTTATTATATTATACATGATATACTATATTTTTTTATATTAGATGTTACGTATTATGTGTATATATATATATCTCTCTCTCTCTTCTTCTTGCGTGCCATAGGTATGGATTGTGAAAACGGATGTGAAACTAACTTAGAAAGGCAGGTGCCATACCCGTAGGCTCCCCGCAGCATCGTTGCCCCTCAGTACAGGAACTCCTTGAAGTAGAACTATAGATTGGTATAGATTAGTTCGACTTAGTTACGATGTCCAGGATACAGCCTGGTAGGAAATGTTGCTAGATTTCTTTGTTGATAGCTGCTTGCAGTATTTGAGCAAGTTGTGCGTTGGAGTTGTATATATCATGATCATATGTGTATATATATATATGTATATATCATGATCATGGTGTCATAGATTCTCACAACAGGTGCCACCTCGAGGTATGACCTTTTCTTGGACAAAGTAAGGCTCCACAGCCTGGCCTGCCAGAGCAAAGGCGAAGACAACGCTGAGAATGGCGAGATCGGGCCCACGCCAGCCGTTGGCCAGCCACCACTGGATGTAGCAAGTGCTGGGGAAAAGCACCAAACTTCCCAGAATATCTGAGATGGACAGGATCACGAAGCTTCGCTTCTTCCAGAAATTCTTCATATCCTTGGCTGCAACGGTGTGCAACGGCTTGGAGCTTTGGTATCTTTGGTCAAGAGTTCTAGTTCGACGGGGAGATTCAAGCGTTCAACTTCTTCCGCCATGACTTCTGGTCGAACTCCTATGGATTTTGCTTACCTTCATGTCTAGCAGCTGTCCATGATTTGCTGGTTACCCATTCTTGATGGTTGCAACCCCCATTTCTATAGGCGAAACCCGGATTTTTGAACACTTCAAGCCCCATATGTTCATATTTGCTGGTTTCCCAAACTGGGGAACGCCCAAATCATCCGTTTTAATAAGAGTTTCCCTTCAAAAACTCGGTCAAAACCCGTCCGTTTTTCTCATCCCCAGTCTCCCAGCTGGGCAGGGCATCTTCACGGTAGGGCCCCGGTGCCATCCAGAACAAGACGCCTGGGATCAGCGTAGCCAGGACGACCACCTCGGCACTGACTCTGAAAGATTTGGGCTTTTTTGAGACCTTGAGTCATGGGGGATTCTAAAAAACTTGTTCAACGCGCAAATAGTCGAAGTTTGGATGATTTGGGGTGCTCCACATCTTAGGAAACCTCCATGCTGAATCGGGAATTGGAGAAACTTCGACACATGTTCAAGTGAACGAGTGGCCCGGACGCAACAAAAATCAACAAAACACATGGACCCACCAACAAGCAGTTGTGATAGGTGCATCATGCATCCATCACTCGATCTAAGTACACATACATCTGCATCAACTGGTCTGATGTCGGAAATTCTCTGCAAACTCAGCTGATTCTGCCCCCAAAATCACCAAACACCGAGCCACGGCAGCAGTTGGAAGCAGCAGCCAGTATACGGTGGGTGGAAGTGGTTCTGAGGCCGTGCCCTCCTGCGGATCAGTTAAAGCAACCCAGGAGTCCAACACCCAAATCCCGCCAATGTCATGGTCATATCATGTCATATCCAAACTTTACAAATGTGATTCTTCCTCGAACCAACCAACGACTTGTATTGCAGGTCAATACCGCTCGCAAGTCAAGAGATGGTCGAAGTTGGTACTTGCACCGTTGGGATTCAAGCTTTGAATAAAATCACTAACCACGAAAAATCCGCATGATGTTCCTATCACCCAACAGATATGTCTGGGTGCTTTCCTAAAGCCATGGCAGGGGTCAACCTTCATCCCAGTCCCATCCTTTGTGGACGGAGAGGCAAGGAAGATGTAGGCCGTGATGAACCACGTCACCGCTTGTCGTGTCATCTCCAGGATGCCCATGCGATAGGCCGCGTGGCTCACGTCCGCCTGACCAGGGGGATTCATGGGGGCTTGGGGGTTGATGGGGGTTGATGGGGGTTGATGGGGTTTGATGGGGGTTGATGGGGGTTGATGGGGGTTGGGGAACAATGGGAAAAAGTCCACTGGTTCATCATTTCCCCCACTGAAATTAGATGTTTTATTGTCGTTTCCCCTCCGGATGTCTATCCATTTCCAGGCAAAGCGTCCTTTCTGCAGGGCACCCAACCTTTGGGTGTCCAAATATGTCTGAAATCCCCAACAAACGTCAAATTACAATACAAGGCCCTGCCTTGATACTCATCATGAAGTTGAAGCTGACAAACATCAAGGAGCCTGTCAACGGGCGTTGGGAAGCTCGGCTACAGAAGAGGATGGTGCACAAATTATGGGAAGATCAACCTTTACCACCAGTAAGAAAGATGGACCTCTTAAGGAATGTGGCTAACAATTTTGAACAACGGCTAATCTTCTAAAATTGGGCCACCAAAGGGTTGCGTCCTGACTCGGACTTGTTAAAAATCCAGCCAAGTCTTCTCAAACCTCGGTTCAAATTCCTAACTTTCTTTCTGACCGCGCTCAATTTGACCATGAAACCTGGCGATTAAGGTCCAGAAAATGGTCACACATCCCTTGGTTCCATGACAAGGCAAAATCAAGCTATAGAATCTTCTCGAGACCTTTCAATGATACTTTCAAACCGTCCAATTGTTCCAACATGTCTCAAAATGATTCAAAACGTCTCAGAATGTTTCAGCGGGTCTCAGAATGTATCAAAACCCATGCCAAGTGCCCAACCCCCAAATTCATAACCATAGCCACAGCACCTGAACTGGCAAGGCCCTGCAAGAAAACCAACGTCGTGGCTAAGGAGACGTCAGGATGGCGGACGCAGAGCATGGTGGTCAGGAAGGGAACCTGAAGTAATTCCCAAAGATCCACAAAACAGGCCTTGGTGGTGATTTTTATGGCTATAACCGTGCTGATAACCTCCATAAGTTGGGACCTGCTATAGCTATAGGACAATAAGCATATGTTTCCCCTTTTTTCCTGGAACTGCACCCTCAAGTACTTCGGGCCAAAGGATGGATTGGTGATTCTGGGGACCTTACATTAGCCTTACACTTGAGATGTGAATACATTGGGGGCACCATGTTCTCGCATCTCGAGAGAATCAGTACCTTGATCTACCGGTCGACCGATCAATCATACAAATGGTGTAACGTTTCATCCTAAAGTTTAGCAGTAGGGCCCGGGCAAGCCGGGCTACGGAAGTTTCAAAGGAAGGCAAGGCTATAAAGAAAAGGGGGAACCGAGAGGAACGAAGCCTGGCCGCCTGGCCCCACACCGCCACTTTGTGCGAGAAAACATAAGGTTTCGTGCGGTTCCTATCCTTCAAGCGCCACCTTGACGAAGCAATGGGACTGCGATCGACAATGACTGCCTTGCAAATAAAATTGGAACTGATGTGGTGATGTGGTGGTCTTGCGATGTGATGTGGGGATGTGGTCATGTGGTGATGTGGTGGTGTGGTGGTGCGGTGATGTGGTGATGTCGTGATGAGGTGATGTGGTGATGTAATGATGCTGATTGTGATGATGGTGATTGACTTTCTTCACTTTTTGAAAATCCGTAAAGCGGAGTTTAGACTTCTAAATTTCCTTTGGTTAGACTCCCTTTGATCAAATCATTCAATTTTTGAGAGGTCAATAATTTTGGATGTATAGATGTTGATGTTCCATTAAAAAAATGTTGCTTGCAATTTTGTCATTTTCGTCAGACCAATCAATTCATAGGGCTGAACCATTTCCAGCCTGTAGGAGCATGGCCGCTGCAAGCAGATGACGGGGTTGCGCCACTCGCGCCAAGCACGCCCAGATGGGAGCACCCACAGCACCTGTGGCGCTGCCGCAAACCCAAAACGGAAAATACAACTGGAGGTTTCCTCAAATAGGGGTACCCAAAATCATCCAAACTGGAAAAAAACAACTAATGACTAATGTTAGTAAAACAATAGGATCCACCATTCCCAAAGACTTACCATAAATAGGTGGTATAAACTGTATAAAATCAAAAAATGGGTGGTTTATGACATTGCTTTACTGACATTGAAATAGTCCAAACAATCGGCCTTTTTGAGGAGGACCCCATGACCCGTGTGTTTGAATGCTGATGAAATCCACCGGCCCCGCTTGCAGCAGGGCGAGCGCGTTAGAGGAGAAATTACCAGCAGCAAGGGGTACGAACTTATTACAAGCAGCTACTACAAGCAGCAAGGGGCAAGAAGCAAGAAGCAAAAAGTCAGGAATCAGGAAGCAAAATCAGGAAGCAATTACAAGCAGCAAGGGGCAAGTTTTGAGAGCTTGGGTAAGCAGTTTGGAGCTAGTTTCTTGTGGCTTCAGAAAGGAAAGGCACGGCCAGCTGCAGGCCGCAGGTGCCATCCGTCCTTCACTGCCACGGTGTTTCAGTGTGGCGAGGTCCGTTTTGGGAGCTTGGGCAAGCAGTTTGGAGCTAGTTTCTTGTGGATTCAGAAAGGAAAGGCACGGCCAGCTGCAGGCCGCAGGTGCCATCCGTCCTTCACTGCCACGGTGTTTCAGTGTGGCGAGGTCCGTTTTGGGAGCTTGGGCAAGCAGTTTGGAGCTAATTTCTTGTGGATTCAGAAAGTGACGCTAGGCACGGCCAGCTGCAGGCCGCAGGCGCCATCCGTCCTTCACTGCCACCGTGTTGCAGTGTGGCGAGGTCCATTTTGGGAGTTTGGGTAATAAGCAGTTTGGAGCTAGCTTCTTGTGGATTCAGAAAGGAAAGGCGCGGCCAGCTGCAGGCCGCAGGTGCCATCCGTCCTTCACTGCCACGGTGTTTCAGTGTGGCGAGGTCCGTTTTGGGAGCTTGGGCAAGCAGTTTGGAGCTAATTTCTTGTGGATTCAGAAAGTGACGCTAGGCACGGCCAGCTGCAGGCCGCAGGCGCCATCCGTCCTTCACTGCCACCGTGTTGCAGTGTGGCGAGGTCCATTTTGGGAGTTTGGGTAATAAGCAGTTTGGAGCTAGCTTCTTGTGGATTCAGAAAGGAAAGGCGCGGCCAGCTGCAGGCCGCAGGTGCCATCCGTCCTTCACTGCCACAGTGTTTCAGTGTGGCGAGGTCCGTTTTGGGAGCTTGGGCAAGCAGTTTGGAGCTAATTTCTTAGGTTCAGAAAGTGACGTTAGGCACGGGCAGCTGCAGGCCGCAGGCGCCATCCGTCCTTAGTGCCACCGTGTTTCAGTGTGGCGAGGTCCGTTTTGGAAGCTTGGGCAAGCAGTTTGGAGCTAGTTTCTTGTGGGTTCAGAAAGTGACGTTAGG